GTTATTTTGATAATGTTGAGGAGACGGATCTCGAGCAAGTTCTTCGTATGTTCAATTCAGTTTAACATCATGCTGTTCTTCATTTGCTATTTTTCATATGATGTCTGGGCATTGGGCCGTGGTGTGGCTCTCTATACATACACAGCACGACAAAGCCGCCTTCTGCCTTCTCCCGCAGCTGTCTCACGGCACACCCCAGACGTTCATGGGGTCACTGACCTTCACCGGTCACGTGACAGTGAGAGGAGACGTGGAGCTGGGCGGCCGCCTGAACGGCTTCAACGTCTCCCAGATCGTAACGTTGGGCACCGATAACGACGTCCTAGGTAAGGGGAGGAGATGTCCGTAGTATTTGGGAGGGAAAGAGTAGATGGGCGACGAAAGTGAGGGATGAGGAATGTAGAACTGGAAGGATGAGGAGGAAATATAGAAATGGATATAAAAATAAAACAGATGGAACGTAAGAAGGAGCCGGATGAAGGATATTACGTCTCAGTTTTGAATTGCCTTTCGAAATGGGAAGCTTTTGATTTTTAGCGTAGGACTGTGACTGCTGCGGCTATGAAGTATGAAATATAATAACTTTCGTAAAACCGTTAGTTGTTGTTGTGTTGTTCTGTGCCCATTTCTTTCCTGGCATGAAAGGTTTTCCTTCTCTCTTTTGACGCTCCCTCTCCTCCCCAGCCAATCTGCAGTTTACCGGTCCGGTGACGGCCGACCGAGTGGTGGTACGGGGTCTGGTGGACGGCGTCAACGTAACCCAGTGCGCCGCCACGGCCGTGTACCCTGACGGCAACCACACCCTGTACGGAGATTACGCCGTCACCACGGTGAGTGCGGGTGGACTGTGGATCCTACTGCTGAGGCGATGGAGTTGGGGGAATAGTGGAGTTTGGCTCGGTTGGTGTAGGTGATGGTGCGTCGAAGGAACTTTGCTAGCAGATGTTCCCAAGGCGATGACGTTCCATCTTTTTTCAGTAGATGTTCTCTTAATTTCTGGTTACAGAGGTTTCGGTGTGCCGGCCCCCAATCGATTTTCCCGGTCTGGGTGTCGCCGGTTTGGCTTCATGCTCGATTCGATTATATAACACCCCTAGTACTTATCATGTTGTGATGTGAGCGTCCTATCCGACCGATGATCATTCTACAGGTTCTGCTGGACGGGTTCAACGGCGAGGGACCCATCGACGTGAACCGTGTCCGGACTGAGGTCAGCGTTCTGCTGGAGCAGTGTGCCGTCCAGCGGAACGATTTCAACGTGAGTGGCACCGGGATATTGTGCCGGACCGATGCATGTGGCTAGGTGCTAGGTAGGTATATGCCAGCTCAGAAGCACTGAAATTCGCAAGGAAGACGTCGTCTGAATGCAGTGCTCCGTTCACCGCAGGGAGTGAAAACGGATAATTTGTGGACCTAATGACGCGACATTGTGTGTATGTTGATCTGCGGTCGTTATTCCTAGTTCTGCAGACGGACAATGAAGTTATATTGCCCTACAGCACAATACAACACACAATTCACGTTCCGAATATCGTCGAGTAAGCAGTGAGCACGATTGTGCCGACTGTATCGTGCGGCACAGCATCGTTAAGGCGTTTGACGCCACCGCCATCTATTGGCTGGGACATGAAGCATAGGTAAACTGGGCAGCGCTACCGTATCAGTTGCTCTCTGCTGTAGTGTTGTGTGCGCCTTGGTCAGTTGTTTTTCATGTTTATCAGCTAGCGTGTTCTGATCATCTTTCAAAAAATGCTGTTCCCATAGATCCCCCGTTTCATTTCTAGTTGCCCACGTGCTTTATTACGTAGTGGTAGAACGACTGAGCTTAGCTGAGCGAACTTTGTTACTTTAACAATATCCATGCCATTTTGTGTCGCCCTGATGCCTTTCCTCTCCTCAGTATGTTTTCGTTTCGTTTCTCGGCAGGATTTCTTCCGTTCCCAATGTCTGGCGATGCGGGGTCTGTACGGCGATATGCGCTCCACGTACTACGCGGTGCGCTACTTTGACGAGCTGCAGGAGCTGACCTGGCCGGACCTGGGCACCATCATCAGCACACTCGTGCTGGAGGTGAGGGCGAGCTATCGCGAATGACGAATAACATACCTTTATTCAGCATATGCATATGATCCCCGAGGCCAATGACACAACAATATGATAACGTGACTGTATACGATCATTAATGAAGGGGTGGGTGGTAGCACCAATAGGCGGTGGTCACGCTTGTCCTCCCCGTTACTAACGCCACCACAAAAAACTAGGCAAGCAGGAAGGATGATGCCTACGTCATTGAAGTCTAGCAGTTCTACCATAAATAGTAAGAATGAGGTTGTTCTACGCGCACACCTGACTCCCAAACGCCCCACCTGCTACCCCTCAGGACGACTACAGCAGCGAGCCGGCCGTGCTCGTCACCTACACCCGTCTCGGCAGCGGCTGTCCCGAGTCGCGCCTGCTGCGGTTCCGATCCGACACCGGTCTCCTCCAGCCCGCCAGCGTGCCCCACAACTGCGGTGCGGTGAGACAGTGGATTCACCTGAGACCGGGCGGTCGCCTTCTGCTGGTGTCTGCGGCGGAGCGGCCGCCGCCCCAGTGCGCCGCGCCGCTCTCCGCTGTGTGGCGCTGGAGCAACGGTCGAGTGCAGGTGAGGGTGAGGCGGGTGTCGTGGTGGAGGATGGATTGGTACGGGTAGGTGATATATCTATTATCTATACAGGAGGGATGGACAGATTCGGTTGAGAGACGGACGAGTACGGATGAGAAATGAACTGGTCTAGGCAAAGAGTGAAACAGGCTGTTTTGTGTGGCGAGCTAGAGGTCCAGCTATTTCATGGTGGCGTCTGTACCCCACCCCGTGACTGACGTTCGACTGATTGTCACCCCCCCCCCCCCACACACACCCATCAGCTGTGAAAGAAGGGAGTGACTCGACCATACCTCTACTGTACACCATCTACACATCACCTGTACCGCATCCCTCTCTCGCCCACAGCCGTTGCAGAATCTAAACATAGCCGCCAGCCAGGCGTTCTACACGGCTCCGCGGCCGGGCGCCCCGGCTCAGCTGCGGCTTCTCGATCCTGTCGGTGGAGAGCTGCACCAGCTCAGCTTCAACCCGTCCGACGGCAGCTTCGTGGCGCACCCGCCACAGCCTACCAATGCCGGTAAGACACGATGCTGGATTGTGAGGCTGAGATCAGGGCTGTGCTTTTTTCAGGAACATTGTGGATTAAATGTCTTAATTTATGATGATTATCCTTTGGTCCACTGTTGGTAGAATAATCTAGAGGTCAGCGACATTTTCATCACTAGTGATCGCAACTTCACGTGTTGTGGAACAATCGTCAAATAGAAGTGCTCGCCCCTCACCGCCCAGGAAACTGCTTCAATTGACCCCTCTCTCTCCCGCAGATTTGCTAGCCGTGCACTCCCTGCCAGACGGCTCGCTACTCGTCCTCTCTGGCGAGGGTACTACAGTGGTGGCCCGCCGTCAGTCTCCCGCACACACCCACCACGGCCACCACGAGCAGACGCTGGGGGCACTGACGGCCACAGCCCTGTTCACCTTCAGTCGCCGCGGACAGACCATGTTCGCGGTGGGAGACGGCGGATGGAGCTCGCTGGTCAACAGCCCGCAGGGCGTCAAGGCGAGTGGGAACTGGAGAGACTGGAATAAAATATATTGAAAGGAGCATGAATGAATGAATGAATGAATGAATAAATAAATGAATGAATGAATGAATGAATGAATGAATGAATGAACACATGAATGAATGGACCTAACAGGGCTCCCATTGTGGTTGTAATTCGATAGATTGAACTGGATAGTTACGCCTATTCTCTGCTGAGTGATATCACCTGACCTGAGCCTGTTTCCCGCTTCCTCCAGGTGTTTGAGTATTTCGGCAACGGCACCCACCGGTGTGTACCGGCCCAGCACCTGGCCGCCGTCAGCCCGGCCGACCTGACCCTACTCTCAGTCGGCAGTCTGCCCGACCTCCTACTGACCGTGGTCGAACGCGACTGCGGACTGCGGCTCTTCGTCGATAAAGGCGAGTAGAGAGGTGAAGAGGGCGTGACTGGAATATTTATCGTCTGGGAGAAGTTTGAGGGTTGTAAAGTTATCTTGGTGGGAACGGGATACAAAACACATCGACATGGTTGCTTGGAGGGAAATGCTAGGGAAGATTGAGCATGGAGCATCATGGAACATTAACGATTATTGTATTGCAATTAGTTCGCATCCGCCTCACTCGCGTTCGTGTAGTCCACTGCGCTCTCTGACACTTCCCCGCTCGCCGACAGGAGAGGCCGGTTTCGTCGAGTTCCAGCGCGTGGCTGTACCGGGCGCCGAGGCCGTCTCCGTGCTGTACCCCCAGTCGGACTCTCCGCCCCACCTACTGGTCTCCGCTGGCCGGCGGCTGGTGCTCCTCGCTGCTCGAATGACGGGAGCTCACGTGACCCCGCTCAGTGTCGACTGTTCGCCGCGCCTGCTGCCCCTAAGGAACGGAGAGGGAGAGGGGCGGAGCGAGGAGAGGAGGGTAGAGGGACGGAGCGAGGAGAGGAGGGTAGAGGGAGAGGGACGGAGCGAGGAGAGGAGGGTAGAGGGAGGGGGAGCGCAGTGACAGCGGTAGAATGAAGCGCTCGCTCGCCCACCTGGCTGTGTGATTAGCGATAGATTGTTGTCATTAACTTGTTGAGCGCTGGGTAAACGGCGATGGATCTGCCGACGTTGTTATTGCATTGTTGAAGTTTGAAACGCGTGAGCGAATCTGTTATACGGAACCAGTGATCTGCAGAGAATGGCTGGTAATGATCTCTTTACTTAGGCAGTTGTAGTGCTATGTCAACGTACCTAGACATTTCTGCAAGTATTTATGCTATTTATTCGTAAAATATACAACACTCGTCATTCATATACTACGAAACATAGGCAATTATAATAATGTTGTGCTGAGGACTGACGGCTGCACAGGACCGAGCGCCACGTCAAACAAAAATTAGAACACGATTAAATATATTTCGGTTGTATTTCCCACAATTTGCATTGGTCAGTCATGAACGGATCAGGCACCAGCTGTCTGTATCGGCTACCAATCCACAGAACATCGACCGAATAAGTGATCTAGTATGGCCAGACACCGGCACCCTCCATGTTGCCCATCACTGCAAGGTATCGATAGAAGCGCCGACCACAGGCGACTTACCGACTGGAAACAACGAGCAGAACACATGGGAAGCGACGTTCGTAGTCAAGTGCGTGATAAACAGTGGTTCATGAGGTCATCACATCTTGCATCTGCAAATGCTTCGTATTTAGCGGTCCAGATATGTCACCAAAACACGATGGTGTTCTCTCCTAAAAAAAAACATAAATCGGTGTATATTTTTTACTCATCCCGAAACCTACAATAGCATGTGATTACGGGGGCTGGGGTACCGACCTGAATCGATACTTTGTAATGTAAGTAGATTGCGAGCACTGGCTGAACCCATAAGCACACTGCAGCTCCATAAATCACATTTGCACGGCATGGAGACGAATAATCCAGGCAGTTATCACTTGTGCACAACACACAATAACACAACGCACACAAAATGCAACACCTATAGCACCAGATAAATATAATCTACCCGAAGTCTAGTAAATTCTCTCGAATATCTCGACATGTCGAAAAGTATACTATTTGTTCATCTTGGCCATCTTTTTGGTGACCTCCGCGACGTCCTGATCCTCCACGTCCTGAATAATGTGCTCCTCAGCCTGTCCGGCTGCGTTGGCGGCAGAGGAGGATTTTCGGCCGGCCGACCGCCGTCTCTCCCTGTCGTCAGGACTCCGGGCCGCCGCGTCTCTCGCCTCGCGGTCCCGCAGCCACTGTTTGGCCACCTCCGGCTGAAAGGTCAACTCACAGTGAGAACAATGGCGCAAGGAAACAGGCGTCGCTTAGAACTTCTGCGATATTTTGGTACCTACGCATTTTGCATCTATATGTAGATAGCTTCTGTCGTTTATAATTAGCCCTAATTATTTTCCATGGCGAGAAGGAACAGTATGAGTCGCAAGGAAAAGAAAAGGACATATCTTATTGAAGTTCAGCAACACAGTTGACATTTTTTTTTTGTAAGGTGCCATACACGCATATGTTTTTGAAATTACAAAAATCATCGATCACCTTGCTGCAAAGATAGAGACGTGCATTGGGCATCGATAACTATATACAAATATAAAAACATGCATCTACAACAAACGGGAAGAGAGTCATCACATACGCCATCCACTCAAGCATATAATGCTCACAGTTCACATCATTATAAATGAATTATCAAAGCCCAGCGAAAGAAGGCCAATTCTGTACAGCAAGCATCAATAGTAAGCATGCCACCACCGAACGAGCGTTACACGAATTCAAGATTCCCACAGCTGGGCATAAAAGTAAGGAACTATAAATAAGTAAAAGTATGTATCGTTCGCCAACAATTACATGTTAACGCTTCTGAGGCTTCGGGAGAGGAATCATCACGAAAACGAGTGACGACGTCGTTAAACAAATAACCGCCGGGCGAGGCACGGATTAAAAGAGTGAGCAGAAAGACGGGATTGGCTGTTAAGATCGAGATTAAAGATTAACCGTGCACACACGACACGCGTTTAGGCATTCCAGTGGGGATTGCGGAGGAATCAACTTTCGAAACGACCTTTGGTCTTTAACTTCTGGCTAGAAGTTAAAGATATGTTAGAGCACATAACATATCAACAATGAGCAGCTAGGAGAAGGACGGAGAAGGAGAAGGCTGATTGGCCACATAAAAGTCTCTTTGAACACAGCATGAGAAATGAGAACGATATATTTTGATTGGGACGAGAGACGCACGGAGCATACACCAGTCCGGCTTACATATGAAACATTGGTGCTGAATAAAAGGGAAAAGTTCACCTTGATTTCTTACAGGCCATGGAAATAGTTCTTCCTCCCACACTTCAGAAGAGTAAAAAATCACAAATTTGAAAGGTCAACAAACCCTATACAATCAAATCATTCCACAAGAAGCTCCGAAAATGTTGCATAATACTTGCTACTTATGATACATAATCACCAGTATAGCGCCTTTTGGGGCGACTAACGGAGCGAGCGAGGGGGTGAGTCTTGCACGTGCGAAATTTCGAGGGGGTACCTCCAACTGACTTGTGCACGGCACCCTACTGACCGGTTTCTAGCGATGTGCCAAATTTGAGCACAATCGGCCCAGCCGTTCTCGAGATCTGGGAGCGGCACCCTGCACGTGCGCACGTGCAAAATGGGTCCCAACTGACTTGTGCACGGCACCCTACTAACTGGTCCCTAACCGTGTACCAAATTTGAGCGCCATCGGTCCACCGTTCTCGAGATCTGGAAACGACCCCTGCACGTGCGCACGTGCAGCAGCACCCCAACTCTGGCACATGGATATGCAGTGCCTAGTGGGTGCCTACCTACATGCCAACTTTCAGCGCAATCGGCCAAGTAGTTACCGAGATATTGCAACAATTACAAAACTGACACCTCTTCGTTTTGCACGTGGCACGTGCATAAGGGGTCACCTATATGCATCGGGAATAGTCCAATACTTGGTAGAAGGAATGAAGCTACCCTACAAAAATTACCGCGTGTAAATCGGTCAAGTGGTTGCTGAGATATAAGCCTCGCAAAAGCGTCCGCACGGCCGGCCGGCCGGCCGGCCACTCATACTCAGAAATTTCCGTTAATCTAAGGAAAGACTTCGCTCGCTTCGCTCGCTCCGTAACTACGAAATGTAAAGCGAAACACTAATTTTATGGGAGTTTCTGGAAAACTTCTGCTTTTCGTACTCCGACTAGTTACGTCGCTAACTCAATAAATTCTGCTCTCAACCAAGGTGAACTTTTCCCCTTTCGAAATTCGAGGACATAAAATACGAAAAGAGCAAGACGATCAGCAAGAGGACAAGACTATGAGGGGAATGGGGATGCTGCCGTGCGTCTCACCGTCCAAAACCAGGAGGACCTCTTGTACTTCCACTTGACGAACACACCGGCTTCACTGAACGGCCAGATGACGTGCAGGTGGATGTGCCACACGGAGATGAGCGGAGGCACATGAAACCCGATCCTGCCGACGGGATGGAACGGTCGGGTTTGGTTGGGTTAGGTCAGTGACTCAGTACTCGGTAGTCAGTACTCACCGAGGCGAACCAGAGTCCATGGCGGAACACCATCCGCGAGAGCAGTGACATCTGGCTGGCCGGCTCGATGGCGTGCAGGTGCAGGTGGGAGACCAGGTGGAACGGCGGCCAGTGGAAGCCGAGCCTGGCCAGGCCGCACGGACACACAGAGAAACACAAAGACAAGGTAATAGGGACAAAGCTTTAACATCATCAGCCTCATCTCTGAATACAAGGAAAGAGCATGAAATGAAGTGTGAATCCTGCTTTATTTCTTTTAAAAGTAACATGTCTTCATCATGGCTAAAACAGATCAGCCATTCCATCGGCTGAATAAATGACCATTGAGTAAGTGAGTGAGTGGGAAACAACTGATAAGATAAGTAGGTAGCTACCTAATAGTAACATCATGAGTCCAGGAGGTACTTTGAGCATTGTATGTAATCTAATATCAGGCTCAAATTAACAGCTGGTTATGCAAAGCCTACCATCATACATCTGAGAGAGTACCTATAAAACATACCGGACATCATTTAGGTCAGCTCCATTTTTCTCCAATAGCTGATTGGCCACATTGACAAGGCCATCCACTGCAACAGAGACAAAATACTTTGTGAATATTAATAGGCATACTGAACCAAATTTGTCAGTATCACTTAGCTGTGAAGATATCCCTTTTTATCGTAATACTTCTGTACAAACAATGACTGGCAATTGCAGCCATAGAATCATATTTGCTACATATCTTAGACTGGAGGTCAATGAATCATTGCTTTCTTGTACTGTTCCTCAATCCCCAGCTTACCAACTTCTGTTTTCCCCTGTAGTTGAGTGACATCCTGTACATGCTCATTTGTGATGATCAAAAGATGATTCTTTGAGGCTGGTCGAATGTCACTGAATGCAGTATATTTCTGATCCTGAAACAAAACATAGATAAATGTGAAATGGCATGTTAAAAATAATTAAATGAATTCATATTAAAAGTTAAAAAAAACAATAGCAAGAGTGCAACCTACTATTGATGCCAATACTGCCAGAATTAGAGATATGCACAGAGTGCCCCTTGGGCCACAACCTGACCCACATATCAGTCATGAAATAGCACTTTGCAGCAGTAGTGGCGGAACACCTTCAATTGAGGGGGGGGGGGGGCACTGCAGACTTTTGGTCCCATTCTTTCCATGCAATGCCCATAAGGCTAATGTTAAAATGCCAAAATGAAACGGGGGCACGGCACGGTGCCCCAGTGCCCTCCCCATTCCGACGCCTATGCTTTGCAGTGCCATAGGAAATAACTGTTAACATGAATCACAAAGACACATCTATAGGCAGTGAAAAGCTTACCTTGTACAAAATTTCATTTGGTTCTCGCCCCTCAACAATGCGACAAAACACACAATCTCTCAACCGATTTGATCCGAATGGGAAACGCATTGTCTTCCTTGACCAGAGCGACTTAGTGAATCTCGCACTTGCTCGCGCTGGTATCCAATGAATGCTAGCCACAAATATAAAAAGGCAACGAAATATTAATAGATGTCCAAGCTTACTAAAATACCAAATATTCCCGCTAGTGAATCATCTATGCGGGGATTCCCATAACGCAACCCATGACGCAACCCAATGGTTGGAAGTTATTTTGTCACAGATGCGCTGAAACTGAACCTCTCCATTGCTACCATATCCAGCATACAGGGCTACCAAATAAATTTTGCTGGAAACCATGGGAAACAAAACAACGCAGACACACAGAGTACCGGCACGAAGGACGCATCGCCGCGTAGACACCGTTCCTTCGTTTCCATCCTCAGTGAATCAACTCCTCCATGCCTCAACCCCTGATCCGGACTGGACGGGCATCTTTATCCGACAGGGCCTCCTCTAAGGATTTTTCACTGGGTGGGCAGAATTTTCGCCACTTCCCTGCCCAAGGGCGAATCCAGCCACTGTTTTGGGGTTCAACCAATTTCAAAACCTGTTACGGGGGGGGGGGGGCGGGGGTGAGGCGAAATAAGCAGCGCCGTTATTGGAAATAAGATGATAGTTTGCAAAGTTAACGTTTGTCGTATGTTTTATGGTTAGCGATGCTCGAGCGATTCGTTCCAGAGTTACATGTACAGCCCTCCGCAAACTGCGTGGTAGGTATTCTTATTCGGTATTCTTGCTATTTTGACAATATACCAGTTTTTGTGACTTGTGACCTGGCCTCGGGTCACTGGAACCTAAAACTCCAAGGCCAAGTGACAAACAGATGCTCCAAGTCGTGTCTTAAATTTGGTAGCGCTACGTGCTATAGAACTCACGCTATCAACGAAAAACTCTGGCATTCGGTTGCCGCTAAACTAGTCCAATTTTCCCCTGACCTTGTACGGGGTTTGTGACCTGGTGACCTGACCTGAAAAGACTAGAGATCTGAAATTTTCAGGACAAGTGCCAACAGTGTCCCAAAATTTGTAGATGTGGGTGGGAAACGACATCCAAATGAAAATCATTTTCCACTCTCACCTCCAGTTTTCAAGCCCAATTTTCCACTCCCAATTCCACCGAGAAGGAGCAACTGCGTGAGTGGTTGTTTTTAATCTGTCACAAATTGTAGATGGATTAATGTTTTTGACCATTTCCCATTCTTTTTGGGCCTTACCTGAGCGACAATTTTTCACTCTCATCCTTTTTTTGGTCAGCAATTTTCCCCTCTGACACCCAAGCAAAAATATTATTTTGGGACACTGAGTGCCAAAAGGTTGCCTCAGAGGGTATGTCAAATTTGAGCGCCGCCGTTTTTACGTTATTTGTGAAAAACCTTAGGGGGGTGCATCAACCCCCTCACCGGGCGAGGGCTAACTAACATAATACATTGTAGTAAAGGCTACCCGAACCGGTAATGATTCTTGCTTATTTGTTTAGCTCAGCCGTATTTAGAGATTTAGCTGGCTTTGTCCATGAATAACAATATCGGCAGGGGCGTAGCCAAGGGGGAGGGGCCACGGGGGCAATGGCCCCCTCCCTTGAGCGCAAAACGCGCCATGGGGGAGCCCCTCAGGCCCCGGGATATTTTTTTCAAACACTGGATAAAACGTCTTTTACTCGGAAGAAAATTGATATCGAAATTTCATTTCTGTGGCCCTCTGATGACCCAATGGGCCCCTGCACTCATCCGATGACCCCCGGTTTCCTGGGACCCCTGGTCGCCTAGAGGGCCCGGTCGCTTGGGGGCTAGTCGCATGGGGGCCCCTGGTCGCCTGGGGGCCTGGTCGCCTGGCCCCTGCCCCCTGGTCGCCTGGAAGAACGCTTGTCACTTGCAGTGGAATAGCCAAGGAGGGGGCCAAAGGGACCATGCCCCCCTGGAAGCCAGGGGTCCTTATTCTATAGGGGCCCCTGGCTGACACAGTGGGCCCTTGGCGACGCAAAGGCCCCTGCGGCAGATCCTTTGACACAGCTGAGTAGTTATACTTTGGCCAAGAGAGCCCCAATTTTAGAGCCTTGGGGCCCTATTGAAACCAGGGGGTCAGTTGGATGGGATGGGTCCAACTTGGGTCCAACGGTGTGTAAACAGAATCAATGCGTTCCGACTGTTGGTCTGACCCTATATCGGTTTGAGGGAGCTCGGATCGGATCCACTGTCGATCTGAGGGGTCCCTATCGGTTTGAGGAAGCCCTTAAATGCCCTGAACGGGTCCTTAGTTTGTCTGAGAGAGCCCTCCGTCGGCATTACTGGGCCTCTGCAAGTGCAAGGAGGGCTTTTGTCGGTCTTAGTGGCCCTTAGGCGGCTTATATGACCCTCAGACGGCTTACGAGGCTCTCATGCGCTGTAGGGGCCTGTGACGGTCTGAAGAACCCTCATCCGACCTACGGGCCCTCAGACCGCCCTCAAAACCGACTGGCGACTCTATGAAGCTATTTGTGGGCCTATCTAACAGGGCCCATGGACTGCTTACCCCCCTCAGTTATAATATTTTTTTGTTAATAAATATTTTTCTATTTACTTGGGCCCCCTCCAAAAAATATTGGATCCAACCAGATGGCTTTTTGGATTTTGAGGGGGTTATTTTGGGCCCCTGTGCGTTTAGCCCCCTCCTTGAGGAAATTCTGACTACGCCCCTGAATATCGGGCAACCAGAAAACTTTTTTGTTTGTTTTGTTGGGTTAGGCCCTTTCGGTCGACAAGACCATTGCAGAGCCGGAAGGATGATAGGATTTAGGGGGAGACATTGGTCTGGGCAGGCACCCTAGTGAGTCGCCGGGGCTGAGTCCGTCCAGAGGACAGGCCACCCAGCCCCAAGGCACTCACTGCACCCGGCTACGGGGTGCGCTCCCTCGGGAGCAGCGGTGCCGCTCCAAGGGAGCAGCCCGCATGAGATAAAGATGCCTGTCCAGCCCGGAAGGGGGTTGTGGCGTGGAGGAGAAGGATTTCAGTATCCTGAGGAGAGAAGCACGGATAGGTGAAGAAAACTTTTTTTGACCTTCAAACAGCATCCAGTTTGCTTAAGACCAGAAAGGTAGTACCGGTCGTCCGGCCGGACCAGAATTTTTGCATTTGCTTCTGGGTGGGCAAATCGACGCCACTGGGTGGGCAATTGTGGTGACTGGGTGGGCATTTGCCCACCCAGTGGGTATGTTAGAGGAGGCCCTGTTATCCGATGCGAGAAGCTCCGCTTATGTAGGAACACGCCCGTAAGCGCTTGCGTAGCCGGGTGCGGTGAGTGTCACGGAGGCTGGATGGTCTGTCCACTGGATGGGCTAAGCCGAAGCCCCGGCGACTCACTAGGGTGCCCACCAAGACCAACGTCTCCCCCTAATTCCTATCATCCTTCCGGCTCTGAAATGGACTCGTCAGACCAAAAGAGCCTAACCCAACAAAACAAACAAAACAAATCGCCGCGTGTCATTCAAAACCCGTGGGATGGACGGCAGTGAGGCACCCACTGCCCAGCCTAACTTCAAATCGCAAGACCTGCAGCCTGCAATCTGCATTGTACATGGCTGTCGTTTCATTTGGAATTGAGCAATATCACAAAATGCCTGGGCTCGAGCCCTAACCTAGCAGTAATTTCGATATTTGTAACACCTACAGCTGACCTACGTACTGCGCCCCAACAATTCAAGAAAGTTTCCAAAATATGTTTAGTGGATCGATATGGTACTACGGATCGGTAAGGTTCAGCGACTTCATAACCGAAGGTTTGTTGTCAATAGTTAAAACACTATTCTTTAGAATTGTGTTTTTCTATTGAAAAACAAATCTGAGTTCCCTGACAATTTGGCAAAAGCTGTATTATTGGACCGTTGGTTACAAGTTTTTTTTTGTCACGTTTTTAAATCAAACACAATCTATGTTTCGCTGTCGCGCGGCTTGCGTGACTAGCATAAATTCCCTTCAAAGTTCAATAGCTTCAATACTTTTCGTACCTTGTCATATTTTTACTTCAGGTTATGGCTGTAAAAGATTGCAGAGAAAATTCACATCTTATATTGTGCCGATGATATCGGAGAACTGACGTAACCAATCTTTTATAAGGGAGTTCATAATAAAACGAGCGTAAAATACACGATTTATCGCGGTCAAATTAGCAGTGCTTGGTTCATCTCACATAATGAAAAGGCAGCTGGAATGATCACTTTGCTGGTATCAAAACTTCGGAACAACACTTCTATGCACCCGATTGGAGCGCATCGCACGTTTCACTCATTCGAGTTAAAACTCCTCTCGCCGAAGTCGTAAATACAAACTCACTTTGTACTCTCAAGTCTCAACTGAGCTCGGACGGCGCTGGCCGACCCCTCAGCCGGTCTGCGGCGCGTTCATCTGTCAGCTCGCAGTGTCTCGGGGCCGGGCCGAGCGGGCGAACTGCACCACCATCGGCTTGTCCCGCAGTATGAAGCCGTGGGTGTCGGCCAGCGCTCGTTCGGCAGCCGCCGTGCTCGGCAGGCTGATAAACGCCTGGCCCTTCATGCGACCCTCCTGCATCAGCCGGATGTCGAACCTGCCGCAGATGGACCAGAGACGGTTCACAGGCGAACGGACGGATACATGCGATATGCTGAGAAGATACATAGTCTACATACCCAGAATACGACAGTCTGGCGGCACTGACAGGCGGTACACTTCTGCGACGATGCGCTGTAGGTGTTTTGCGGTGAATTGGTGCTAAAAAGTTACGCATTTCGGAATTTACGATCACATTCCATCCCCGTATTCGTTCACTATACCGGCTTAAATCGTTTTCAAACCTAGATGCTGCCTTTTTGCCGTACCAACCAGCCTAGCGAGGGAAGGGGTACTCACGCATTCTTATGCTCCTCGTCGGTCCAGTCAATGTAGCGCCCGAACACGCGTCTGAGATCTGCGGCCACCACCCGTTTGTCCAGGTTTTTGATATAGAGCCGCGCTGACACCTCCCCGGCCGTGTAGCGAGCAAACACGGGTAAAAGCTTCCGGTCTGCGGACGAGCGTATAGGTAACGTCAGAAATCAGAAACGACAGGACGGCAAGGAACATAACAGCTCAAAAAAGGAGTTATATAGCAATCCTTCGAACATCAAGTGCTGCCGTCTGACATGAAAGTGTCGACGTTAGTGTTAAACGTCACGTTGAATAAAAAATTGGAATAAATTTTTCTATTTCAAAGTGGTGCATTTTAAAGTTGAATAAAAATTAAGCTAATGCATTTTGCTAACAGTCATTTGGCATACCTACATCCACTGCTTCACTATCATAGCTTTGTCCGGTGATGACAGTCTTAGGTGTCGGATGCCAGGGTTGTGCTCGACTCAAAAAAATTTGCCGACTCGACTCATCATTCAACTTCGGAATGCCCTGACTCAAGTCTGACTCAAACAAGGAGCTGATTTTTTCCCTTGACTCGACTCATGACTCAAGCGGCTCAATGAAAATATGAGTTGACTCAAACTTGACTCAAATTTTGTGTTGAGTCAAGTGTGTTGACTCAAAATTGACTCAGATAAAAAAGTTGTTGAGCGGGGGGGGGGGGGGTGAAAAAATCCGGCAGCAGGGCCAGGCGTAAGTTGTTAAGCGGGGGGAGAATGAAAAACTTATACTATATGTTGTTTCTAAAAAGTTGAGTCAGCTGACTCATGTTCCCAAATGTTCTTGACTCAACTCAATGTCAAAAGTTATTTTACTGACTCAGCTCTGACTCAACTCGTCAACACCTTAATATTTTTGTCCGACTCAACTCTGACTCAACTCAACAGCTCAACCTTTTTTCCGACTCGACTCAAATCTGACTCATTTGAGTCAGAGTTGTGAAATTTCTGACTCGACTCATGAGTCAAGCACAACCCTGTCGGATGCATGCCTCAATTCGGTTTAAATTCGTACCTTCTGCGCTGAGCCTGTTCTCAGCCAGCTGCCGGTCGGTGATGAACTCCGACTCCTCCTCCTCTCCCTCCTGGTCGGACCCGTCTCCCGACTCTGCCGTCCGCACCGGGTACAGTTTGGCAAAGCCGCCCTCTGCCTCCGCCGCCGCTGTCCCATTTGTCGCCGGCTGAGGGGCTGGCGTCTCCGCCGGCAGCCTTAGCACGGGTTTCCGAGCGGGCGCCACCGTCACGCGCTCCTCAAACACCTCGGAGAGCGGCACGTGGGCGGTGACCGGGGCGGTCGGGGTTGCGGCAGCGACAGAGCGGCGCTGCAGGCGGGCAGCTCTCAGCCGTTTCGCGGTGTCCGGCAGACGTTCCAGCCGCTGCCGCTTGGCCGGAGGTCGTGTGGCTGCCTCACCGTCACTGGCCCACTCAGACTCATCAGAGTCAGAGTCAGAGTCACCGGGTTCCGTCTGCACCTCCGCGTCACGCGTCTCCGCTGACGCAGGCGGCAGGGATGGAGGTGGGGGAGGAGGGATATCACGCGGCGCGGGCATCTCGGCCGCCGCCGCTGCGGCCGGCGGAACCGGCGTCCTCACCACCGAGCTGGCGAACGGCGCCGGCAGCGACAGTTTGTTCATCAGGTGCAACACCTGGGTGTAGAAGCGCGGCGAGGAGCGCAGAGCGGCGCAGATCCGCGCCAGAGTGTCGGCCGTCGGCGGCGGGTAGGAGTAGCGCAGCAGCGGTGACGGGAACGGGAACGAGGACAGCCGCCCCGCACAGCTGGGAGTCGTATCGGCGGCATCTGCCGATTTGGCGTCGTCCTCACTGCAACTGGAACACAAGAAAATTCGATCTAGCTGTAAATGAGATACTGTTTTTACATGGCAATAAGTAACTGTCACTAGCCCTCAGTCATAGGGAGTCAGCAGGATCAGTGTAACTACTTCCACATTTTTCAACATTTATGTGGGGATACTGCACACCAGCACATTGATGCAATCTACTTACATGCCCTTCAGGGTCATATCATCACTTGCATATTCCACAATGAGTCTCGACCCAGCCAATTTGACTTGGTGAAGTTCCTGCAGAGCATGTTGAGCAGCAGTAACAGAAGAAAACCTGTACAAGGACAGGGCAGGTGGTTATTATTGGCACAGTTAGCCATGTGTTTTCACAAGTTGATGTGCAAAAACATAATACTGAAATGATTTTAAAAAGAGAGCACATATTACAAGCCTATTACACACAATGGTTAAGAAGTTACTGAGCCTGAGCAGTTAACAACAAATTTTACAGGCATTAAATCATGACCAGCAAAATCAATAATGCATGCTATTTTTTTTAGAAAATGTTACAAGCTCCATTCCAAATATTGTTACATTTTCTTACCTGGCAAATATTGCCTTTTTCTTTCTACACTTTTTAAAGACATGAACCTCACTTGCATGGAAATGTTTCAACAAATCTTGACTTTCCTGTTGTGTAAGAACAGTTGGTAGATTTGATATTACTAAAGAAGACGCCATGTTATATAGATGTCAGTCTCCCTGCTGTCAAACAATAATGGTGATCATAAGTAAATATGCAATCTTTAAGAACCACGTGAAGTGGCAAAAAGGTGATGGAGTACCAATGAAATACAATTCAGGCCTAGCAATGCCAACAAAGGAACCTACCTACTGCATGAGTCACTAGTCAGATAATTATATGGAGTGAAAGGGAGAGAAGGTACGTACATTTTCCCCTTCTCTTCTGCAGTGTAAATAAAAAAATTGTTTTTCTCTCAGAACACAGCTCACTTCAAATGCAAACCAAACCAACTTGTGATAAGGTAGTGAATGAAAAATCTAATTAATTATTGGAAAGCCTTTCTGCGAAAAATCCTCCCCGAGGCATCCTAAGCCACTTTTCTGGATCTCAATCTTTATCTGCAGCTTTCCCATTCCTTCACAACTCAACCTACTTCGAAAATGGGATGTCGTGTCCCAGAAAGAAAAATTAGCAGTGAAGTTTTCTTCTGCCACATGGCTTCAATCGCAATGAGATTCAACTTTTAAAAATTAATTGTTTGACCCAGTACTTATCTCTGATGGCGATACCAATACGCCACATTGACATGACTATTTTGCCTGAGAATACAGTTAACCCAAATCACATACTGCAAAAAAGAGAAAAAAGGTGAGCATAACAGTTCGCGGTTGGTTTTCATAGGTTCATCAACGGTAAAAAATTCACATGAGCGCAGGTAATAAAACAATAAAAAGGACCTACCTAGACAACTCCAGCAGTCGCAACACAGACAACAATCACACGCGGGTACAACGCGGGTACACCACTATCGAATTTGTCGCGTCAGATCTGTCACAAGAAATGAAAACAAAAGAGTACAGTCTCTACACGGATCTCTTTCCATAATTTATATTTTGATTGTTTGATTTTCAAGATGAATTTATCATTCAATTAAAATATCTAATGAAATTTACATTATTCTTTAATTTCATGAGTGAGCTAAGGAAGTAAGACAAACAAAAGGTATGGAAAATTATTTTCAAGGCTGTACGAACGCTGGGAATCGCCCCGGGCCACAAACAAATGCACATGTGCTCCAGCAGCTGATCGGGGGAACTGCGCCGCTGCCCATGCGCCGTGGCCCGCGAGGCGCGAGGACCCACAACAAAGACGGCTGCGGGTCAGTCGCGAGTGCAGGGTGAGGGAGGTGGCTAGTCATGCCTTTCCTGTCGCGAGATTGGCGTTCGCCTGGGGAGGAGTGGGTGAAGACTGAAGAAGGATGGGAACAAAAGAAAATATTGGAATGCGGAAACTCTCCGCCAAGGTCACTGAATTCGTCGCTTGATGAAGAGGACAAAGACAGGTCGACAGACTCACCGTCCAGGTCAGATCTTTGGGTATTATGCATGCATTGAAAAATCGGGTATTATGCATGCAGCTATAGTCCGCGTAGCCGCCGTTGCAAATTACAGTGTCGGCCGTTGAGTCGAGGCAGAGCACGTATCGTAGGTACTTCGTCCTAAATATTGATCATCGTGTGACCTTGGCGTCAGCTGACATTTGTTGACATCCGCCGTTGATGTGATATGTGGATCAAATCTTGGATCAAATGTGAATTGTGGAGCGTAGAAGGTGGACGCTAATAGTCATTCGTCAGTCTAACACTTGTGGTTCTTGTTTTACGGCGCCTTTCGACGCTTCCCCGTGAGTTGCCAATCAAAACAACCAACATGAAAGCCTTCTCACCAGACACCAACATGATCTTGAACATGCCCAATTTGATAGCTGTGATGATAGCTGTGATCGACTTCGTGTTTCCTTTGATCATAAGTGTAATAATCCCTCGCGGATCAAGATCCCTCGCTTCAATCTTTCGCGGTCTTATGTAAAGGAGGCCGTCAACAGTCCGGACTAACATGTTCTCATGTTAAAATGCACATGTGCATGTACTGTTTTTCGAATTTCTATTTCTGTTATCCGAGTAGTGCGACATTTCATCTGGTTCGTGCCGCGCGTGCTCCGCCCGCCGTGCGCCTGCTCTGCCACCACGCCGAGCAATAGCTCCTTTCACTGGGATGGTAACCTCCCAGCTCCGTGGTGAGTCCAGGAGCTGTCGCAGTGAAGCTGAACCACAGAGCTGAGAGCAGCCATCCCGCCTGGCCACAGAACGCATCGGAGCGAAGCACGGCCGTCAGAGGTGTTTGGCAACGGTGCGGGTTTCTCAGAGCGTCTGTCGTCAGATGCAGCCGCAGCCCTCTCCCGGCATGTTACCGCAGTCGTCAGTGCGTTTCACTGATACGGCTTCGGTCGGGTGGACATTGGACAGCGTTCGCTGCTTTGCTGTGGCTTCAATCACGGCCGGTGTTTTTGTGCTGTCATTTTCCATCCGTCGTTTTAGGGCTGAAGCCGTTCTGCTGCCCGTCTCTCGCGAGACGTTGCCGATGTTTTCGTCCTTGCGTGTCGTCGGTGGGCGGCCGACGGCGGCGTGTCGGCAGCGTCTGACCTCGAGCCGCGCGGCCGGATCGATCCTGGCCGTGTCGGCGGTGGCCGACTCGGGGAGTGGCAGAGCGTCCATCGATCCCCGTGCACTGCCGGCGCAGGTCAGCAGGTCCCTCTCCGCCACCGGCTGCCAAAGGGTGCTCGGCAGGAGCGTCAATCACCGGAAGTGATTCAATTAGGGCTTCCAGTGAGGGATTAGGGCTCATCCAATCTGTTAATGCAGGCGTACCCCACAATGTTGTCGAGTAATGGTGCATGGGAAAGTGGTTGCACTTGTCGTTACTTTCTACAGTAACCTTGAGCTTCTTTTGGAAGACTGTGGGAAATTATCACTTATCATGTGTCAGGAACTGCTGACCTCCTTGTCGCTTGAGGAACTTCATTGTTGCTCGGAGACTGCTATCTAGGGTGATTTAGGTGGCGCAGGACACGTCCCAGCACGTTCCGCGCTACGTCGGTCGGCTTGCGGCGTGCTCTCCGTTCCCGCAAGTCGACTCGCGACCGTCATCAGCCGGGGCCGCCGACCTACGCCGCTCCGTATGATCCCCTCCCCTACCCGTCCCTTCCTTCATGACCCATCACTCCAGCGCGAACGCTGAGCTTGCCAAGCGGCCGTACCGCGTCATACGTGCACTGCATGATCGGGACTGATCTACGCAGTTGACCGTGTAGCTATCCGGCGCGGTGGTTTCTGTTATGATTGAAACTCTGGCTGCTCCCCAGTGGCGCAGCAATCAGTAACATCCCCGCCTGCGGCCGCTTAGTGCCCACTCTGCAATAACTGGAGCCGCCTCTGGCCGCCGAAGCATGGTCTCTTTGTGTGCCAGCGCCTGCCGCATGCCGCTGGGCCCATGATCGGGAGCGTGGCACTCTGCAGTGAGCCGGTCCGGTACGGGTCCGACCCCTCCCCCTCCCCTCCCTCCCGGAGACGGTGCATTAACGAGTCGGAGCACATCACGCCCTCACGGCCACGCGCCGTGTGCGGTGTTTGTGGTGACGTCATCGGCAGGAAGACGCCGCGCCGTGCAGGCACGCTGTTGTTGCCGCCCTGGGGACGCCACTGCCTGACTCAGCCGCGTGGGTGTCCACCGGGCCGGCTAACTACGTGCAACTGTAGGTACCGAGCCGGTGGAAATCATTCAATCGGCACCGTACTGTGTGCTGAGCTGGAAGCGGCCGTCGTCTTTCATGACATCATTGATCATACCGATGGGTTCTTTGTTCTCTCGGGATGTTTGTTGTAGTCACATTTTCGCTTATAGGTACTCTATCATGAAGTGATTTAATCGTCCATTATGTTAAAAATAGCTACGCGACGCACTGTCACTACCAACCGTGGAAACTGTAAAGCTTGTAAAGTTTGAAGTGGATACTGGGTGGATACTGCATTTGCCAGTTAGAATCCTTCTACATATATAATGAATCCTTCTACTTGTATAATGTATAGTGCAGTCTGCATGCATTTCCAAATGCAATGCATTTGTTCGTCGATTCATCCGTTGTCTCTGGTATTCCGCCGGTAAACGGTTGTTGTTGGTTAGGACGCGTCCTCTACCGACACTGGCTCCTCCGACTGAGGTGCTCCATTCGTGACGTGCGGTGCTCCCGGGCCCGAGAGATAGCCATGCCGAATGGGACGGTGTCACGGGCGGGTTGAAGTGATCCGGGACAATGGCCGACCGGTAGTACTGCAGGCTATCTGATCTTACCTCGGGTTTGTCGACGGTTCGTTTTTTTTTTTTTTTGCCATTGGTTTCGTGTTTGAACGGCCTTGCACTTTCATTCATTGGGCGTCACGATTCATTGTCAGGGAGCTTTTTGCAGACTGTGAAAGCTTTTGTTTTGTATTGTTTATTTATTTATTTATTTATTTCACATTACAGACATGTCCGTGGAAACACGGCTATTCATATGTCCAAGTCGTTGTGCATATACAAATCGAATGGGATATGACAACAGTCACCGCAATCATTCACACATTCATCCTCATCACGTGTGCTAACTAGGACAGCTAAGTGGCTCGCTCGCGGTCAAACAAATGCTCCCTCAGTGCCGGCTTGAATCGAGCCTGACTGAGAGCGCGCAGGTCCGCCGGCAGCTCGTTGTACCCTGACACCGCGGAGTACAGAAAACGGCGACGTCCGGACTCTGACCTGACAGTGGGGGTCACAAGCATGTCATTGTACCTGGTATCCCGCCCGTGTACACTCTGCCGGGTGACTAGACAAGTGGCGAACTGCTGCGGCTCTGACGTGGCCAGCATTTTGTTCACCAGCACGATGGATTGGTACCTGAACAAGCTCTCGGTGTTAAGCCAGCCGAGTTCGTTAATAACATCGCTCACCCGATCATACTTCCTACGGCCTGAGACGACTCGTGCAGCAAACCTAACCAGCTTTTGAAGTCGTTTGCGCTGGTTTACATTGCTGGCACCGTAAACGGACAGACAGTACCTAATAATCGACAAGACGAGCCCCTGCACCAACGTTACCATGACTGTCGCTGGGAGACTGTGTCTACTGTGACTCAGGCCACACAAGGTACCGGTGCACCGCCGCACCACGTCACTGGTATGCGTCACAAACGACATGTCACTGTCAAACCATACTCCCAGGTTCTTGACAGTGTCAGAGCTGGTGATGGTGGAGCCGCAGAAGTTGATGGTAATGGGAGGCAGACGACGAGTCATCTCCGGCGTGCCGAGGACGATCAGCTGAGTTTTGGCATTGTTGATGTTGAGTTGACCACTTGGAAAGTGCACAAGTCTTATGTTGCCAGAAAGCTTACGGACCGGAACTTGGTCCATGAATGACGAAAATGAAATTCCGTCTCCAACTTTCGTATGCATTCTTGCCAGTTGCAATTAGAGGCGACTAACTCTAGAGGTGACTACCATATTGATGTAATCCATCTTACGTATGGATAGCATCGGGATGACAAAATCTGCCTTTCGAGGGAAGTCGCCACTCAGCCGGTTGTCCGTGTGGCGAGTGCCGTCTCTGACAGCGGAGCCGGAGGACCGAGGGATCGGGCTGGGAGGAACTGTTCGGTCGATCACCTGTCTCCTGGCCGCTATTTCCGTCTGCGACTTGGCTCTGTTGCTCACCCTCCTCCCCGTTTTCGCATCGCTGGCTGCGGGAATGTGGAGGCGTCCCGCTCTCCCGGGCCGCCGCGATGCTCGGCCTTATGGCGGTGTTTGTATGGAATGGAAGGGACGACAAAAATAACCCACGAGTTCGACGTGTCCCCGCACAGCGAAATGAAGACGCATGTGTCGTAAATTGCTGCTGAGAGAGCCGAAGACTGCCACTTGGGGATACCATTTTATCTTTATTAGCACAGCTGAGGCCTTGGCGTAGGGACACATTCGCTGCTGCGAACGGTGAAACCGGCGATCGAACGCCGGGTTATGCCCGCTCTATAGTTGCAGTCTCCGTCTGGCACGGGTGTACTTTGACTTGGTGCATGGAAGGCGGATGTATGATTACGATCTATGAAAGAGTTTTTTTTTTCGTAAAACAGCGCTTCATTTGCACAGAGCGCACACCAAATCACGGTGTTTTAGACAGTTGCGAACATGCTTACCAAAGTCGTCAGGTATGAGGTATGCCTTTTTTTCTTGCGTATGTCTAAATAACGTTGAAGCCTGAGTGGAGAGCCGACCAATCCGTCCTACGTGTCGGTGCTGTCAATAATATATTCCACTTCCATGTTGATTAGGTCTGACTCATCCTAGCTAGCGACCGCTGACGTTCGTCTCTCTGTTTCAGCGGCCCTCTGACGACTGTCTGTTTTAGTAGCTCCGCTGACTGTTGACGTTTGTCTGCATCTTTTCAGGTGTTCCTCTGATGAAGACAAGGAGAATGCCTGCGTCCGGGGCGGTGGCCAGCCCACCAAGTCGCTTCCCCGTCCCATCCCGACCCCTGGTCTGGCTCAACGTAAATCAAATGGTAAGTTAGACTGTTAGCGTCGCTGACGGTGACCCATAAAAGCTGCCTTCGGTGGCAAGTTAGTTGCCCACGGAGTCGGGTCGGAATATGTCATTCCCGGTCAGACTGTGGCCCAACAGCTGGTTCACACACGGGGATAACGGCATTCCATTGGGATATATCATTAGGGTCGGTCTCAGGGCTCCTTAGTGGCCATGCCATTTCATGTCTGCTGAGAGAAGTCCGGCCGGCGGCCTTGGGTCGAGACGCCACTGGCCATGTTTCCTAACCGCGTCCCTGTGGCGAGGTACAGAGGGACCAGCGTGCTCAGCGTTCCGGAACGGTCTGTGTGAATATGATTCGGAGAACGACACAGTTCTGCAAAGGGTCGCAGAGATGTCGTTTCTGGCGAGGTGGTGTTTCGTAAAGCATGACTGGGCTTGTTGATTCGACTGAGTTTGTTGACAGCATGCCAGCCTGGCTCATTGGAATACCCAGGGGTCCGTTGTCGCATACATTATTCCGGTTATATCTGTTGGCATTGAATGCAATAGCTATGATCCTGGAGTGTAACAAACTACGAACGCTGAAGGCGATATTGATATGTTGTCAGTTCAGTCATCCATTTCGGTCTGCAGCCTGTTTGTGCGTAATCTAAGCTAGGTTGAGTCGATGTTACAGCGAGCTCGGCTCGCGAAGTATGGCCTATCGTCGGTGATGTTTGCGTCTCGGCTGATCTGATCGCTGCTCAGAGGCACTCACTGGAAGGAGGTGAGTGAACTTCTAAGAAAACAGCTCTGTTTGTCAACGCTGGTACCTTCCACCTGGCCTTTTGCGCGGTTCGCGGCGGGCTGCCAGCCTTGTCTTGGCTCCAATATAAACAGCCGAGGTCTGGGTCGACCTGCTTCGGGCAGAACTCTTTGTCCTCTCGCTGGCGGAAAGTCTAAATATGCCGCTCCGAGCGGCGAGCGGTGCCAAATGCGTGCTTCTTCGTCGACCTCGTGTCGGTGGTACCGCTGCCAACAGGGCACGTGCGCAGCTCCGTCGAAGCCGGCGGGTTTTCCGCTGACGCCACCGTCGTCACCGACGCTGACAAAGTCGAACCCGACGCTCCAGAGCCGCCGACCCTGGTGGTTGCGTAACCTGGAGGGGCACTGGATCTGCGCATTGTGCTCCGGCCAGGTGACGTGCTACTTATGTTACTTATGTAAGTTGTGTTAAAATGGCCCAGGGCAGATGTAGATAAAAATACGCTGCGACAACTAATGCTCAGCAGTAGAACTACGCAAGGGCGCAAGGTGTGGACATTAAAAGGATCACTAGAAAGGGAAGCATCAGCGTTTTATCAGAGCTGTTGTCTGATTAGAGTAGCCCTTTGTTCCTATGCTTGTTCATATTCATAAGTCGCCACGTCACTTGTATGGGCGGGCACACCGTATCTGTTACTCTACTCTGGGGCTGCGTCCGAAAGCACGTCTTCGGGCCTGGCACCTGACATTATCTCAGCGGGCCGTACCGACAGACGCCGGGAGAATGTGACATGGCGTCACGGCGTTACGTTACGTCACCCACGCACCGGGAGCCGGCGGTGACGGTCGACGGACTGCCGCCGGTGATAGTTTCCGTGGTCTGTACCGTCCGTCGGCACGGCGTCATGCTGTGCCATGGTGTGCTCAGAGCTCAGAGCTCAGAGCTGTGTTCAGAACCGACCGTCAGTGCTGCTCAAGGTGCTCATTTCACGGTGCTCGGCGACAGATGGCCAACATGTGGTCAGTAGAGCGGCGAAACTGAAAGTGCGCCGCACGGTTAGGCTAGTGAAACTGAAAGTGCGGTCGTTATTTATGTAAGGCAACAGGCGGCATATGGTAGCAGATGCCGCCGAGGAATCTGCCCCTAGGAGTTTTTGGGAAATCTAGCCCCATACATCCTCGTATCTGAATGACTGCAAATACCGAATGCGTTCGTTGAACGTAGTCCGTAGAGGAGCCCGAATCACTGCATTGGACTAGTTGTGTTAGTGAAATGTTTCTCCGTGATTTATCCAGGGATTTCTCTTACCACTGCGACACAAGATGTTAGGACGGCCTTTAGTGCGGTTTCGGTGTGACCCGGTGAACTATTGCGTGTAACCGGTAGGTCTTCCGTCGACCTTTCGTCGTTCGCTGCCACTTGGTTCAATACTGGACAGACACGCCTCCCACCGGTCTATGACGCAGGGGACTGACAACAGAATGAGGACGTGTCGACTCCCGTCGCCGTTGATGATTCTAAATCCGTTGACTTGGAATCCGATCTGTGGGTTGACTGGTTTGTAGAAGTTTTTTTCTTCTGTATACTTATAGCTGGAACAAATAGGGTATTTTTATGCCGACACATAATAAAATCGCACGTTACACAAGCGCTACGCAGTGGAAGCGTTTGAGTGAGTCAGACCTGCTAGTAGGACGGACTGTGGCGGATGTTTTGAAGATACCAGGCCGTCTAAAGCTTACCACCGGCACAATCTTCGTACTCAGATAGTGCCGGCCCGTGACCGGTCACTGAGCTAGTGACTGTCTAAGTCTCTGCGCCATTTCTGTCACGTTGGCGATTCTGTTTGCGAGTTTCCGATAACGTGGTGATCAGGCTGAGGGTCGCGGACAGGGCTGACGGTCGCGGGTGTGGCCGGTGCGTCGCCTTGAGCTGACGGCCGGCCGGACCGCGAGTCCGGGCGCGGCGGCCGGGTCCGGGCGGCGGCACCCGGACGACGGGCTTCCTTTGTCTGCGCCCGTGACGGGCTTACAGCATCCACAGCGCACGTGCCTTCTCACTGTCCGAGGGATATCGGTAGGCGCTGCCACGCCGCAGAGTCCTTATCGCGGACAACGCAAGAAACGTTAGACGGCTTTGTCTGATAATCGCGCCTTGTTGATTTGCCATAAGGTATTGCTTAATTCGAGGTTGATTTAATTTTGTTGTTAAGGCAGTTATGTAGGTACGACGGAGCGCATTATTTGGACTCGAAATGCAATTCGGCTCGGAGTGAGGGAGAGACAAGTAATTTGGAGTACGGTTGCCTTTTCACTGCGGTCTGAATTATATATGTTACGTTCTACCGTTTACCATAATACCGCCGCTAGTGACTCACCGAACGGGTCCGTCCCTAAGGACAAACCCGTCACCAGTTATGTCATGGGTCTGGCCAAAGGGTTCAGGTCCGTTCACCGGGCACAGTCAGGTGGTTCACCAGGTCGTACACTACCAGCCGTCAATGCATAACAAACATCAGCACCGTTTGAGCGGGGATCGAACAGCTACAATCGCGGGGCGACATGAATGCTGACAGCGGAGCAGATGTGAACCATCAGATTGGCATCGGCCACAATGAACTGCGGCGGCGACCGGAGTTTGACTTTCTGTGTGTTGATTTTGGCCCGGTGGACGAATCTGATCTACATATACTGATTTCAAAATGGTGGGACCATTCTTTTATGCATGGGATCCAGTCAGCTGGTCCAAAAATCTATTCAGGATGCTTTATTGATCGAGCTGATACTGGAGCTCTGCCGGCTGCCTCTCGAATGACGGATAATGAAATAACGATTATCTCGATTCGATAACCCATCGAGCCGAACCACGCCTGGTCCGGTTCGTTGGCCGCCCCGCGGTCGCCTCTCAGCAGTAGCAGCAGCTGCTGTTCGTTTCGTCACCAGGCCGGCGTCTGCGGGGGTAACTCTGAGACCGTGTCGGCCCCGATCGGCACCGGACCGGAGCGAACCCAGTCATGGCGGCTGAACAGGGCCGCTCACCGGCAGCGTGGCGCCCCTGCAGATAACCGTCTTGGTGCAGGCATGGGTAGGTGCCGAGGTCAGGTACCGAGACGCACGGCTTTGTGCGGGAAATGCAGGCCGACTTAGGAGACTTGCTAGTTCGGGGCTGGGCGGAATCAGACTAAAGGGAACAAATAAGATGGGTTTCCGCCAGCTCGATGGCAGTTGAGTCGTTATTTGTACTTTGGTTCAAAACGGTTGGAGTGAAAGCCCGATAGTCACAGTCTTTGAATCTGATATTATAAATTTACGGCCCGGCACCGGAAATGAGTACTGTCTTTGCCAGACGCTGACACACACCGACAGCTCCACTGACACCCTCTGCGACGGTAACATGTGTGTGGCAGCTTCACTGCCTCCCTCGCGACAGTAACAAAACGTGCCTATTGAACTGAACGAGGCAGACGTGTTTTACGTTGCTCTGAATCATTGCAAAATTAAGGCGCATTGTAAGCTTTTTGATGGATCTATTATATATTACAAGACTGAGAAGAAAATGGTGCTTCTGATGCACCTTATATCTTTCAGTGATATATTTCAAATTTGATGGTGTCTTGCATTTTATTTTGCATTTTATTGGCATTGAGATGGAACAATTTCAATTTTGCCCAGCAAGAACATCACAATTTATTGATCGATTTTTCAAGTCTCGAGCCTCCAAGTCACGTGATTGTTTTTTACACTTTGACTGGAAAATGAATGAACCGATTACCCAGCTTAGAAAGTGCATTTTAACGGGCAAAAAGCGTGTCTGGTGTGCCAACAGATATGATGATGCATAATGCAGTATCAAGACACGTTTGGTGATTTATCCTGCTATGATAAATAAATAGCGACATGTGATCAAGACCAGTGTCCAAGACGCTATCGAGAAATGAGAGAACTTTTGAACGGAAGCAAGATTTACAAATCGGTGAACTTCACGAAACTCGACTACGACCACGATCCATGAAGTCATGCGCCCATCAGCTTTTCTTTCGTCAAGTTTTCATTTCTTAGGGCCCCGGTGATATCCTCATACTTATCCTTCTTGCCAGACTGCAGATGTGCGCAGCGCCAACTGGGCAGCAGCTGCACTCGCAGTCCTGCACAATCCTATCACAACGTCCCGTATCCTATCCGTATCCTTGCCATAGTATTTTACGCATCACCTCATAATCACCTCAACTGAAAAGCCACGATGCTTGTGGATGTTGTTGTATGTATAAATAAATAAATAAATAAATAAATAACAAGCCGTATCACTGGCGCTGAAGAGCCCTGAGTGCGTGTCGGTACCAGCGATCTCGTCCGATTTAGGGTGGACCAGTCTGACCGACCCGCGTCTCGGCGGCCGGTGAGACGCATGCCATTACTGATGGGCTGGGATAGGCCATGTCGTGTGGCGCCCGCTGAGCTGAGTCGGAGCACGCACCTGCGTCGCTAGGACCGGCAGTGGCCAACCGGATCTGCATGCAGCAAGGCCTGTCTGTCCGGGCTCAGCTGTGAGAAGACGCCGATACGGCCCATGGTGATGTCGGTTTAGAATTTTGATATGTGCGTGCGTATTCATGTGAAGTGCGTACTGCACGATGGCTGGCACTCGTCCACTTTTATCAGTTCCGGCGTTGATTGGTACTTCTAGTGATAAATGTCTTGTCTTCAACTGTCGGGAGCGCTTAGGTGTTCACTGACAGAGGATTGTCGGATCAGCCAGACGGTGAATGTCTGGCAGCTGGCGATGAAGGGTTATCGGCTCCGACGCCCATTGTCGTCAGTGAGGATACTCTCGGCTGGGCCGGGATGGTGTGAGACTCGAGGGCGATTCTGCGCTGTCGGCCGACCGACCTGTCTCCATCCTGATTCAGATCCCGTCTCTGTCTCTCGGTCGATATCATCTGCAGTGTGGGCACGGCCGAATCGTGAGTGGCGCGGGAACCTCGTGAGCCCCAGGCAGCGGACGGGGCTGGTATCTATGGACGTAGATCAATATCTGCACAGGACCTGCTGGTCATCAAGCACCGCTACTTAGCCGACTTTGGCACAGAATCTCCCCTTTGCAGTTCACATTGGATGTTGACTGACTATTATTGCCGCTGCACAGCAGCGCAGAGCGATCACCCGATATTACCGAGAAACTGCTTTATCACCTCCCCACATCTCACCCGGCCTTCATCCAAACGACCCCCGATATCGGAGCTCCATCAGCGTCTTTTGCTCGGCTCGGTTCTTTCAGAACAGCCGCCCATAGGGCTTCGGCAGTCCATTGGCGTGTGTGCAGTGACGCGTGCACCCGTACCGATCACGTCACCGCCGACCGAGACCCTGAGAGATGACGTCACGGGGGAGCGAGGCCGTTGTGTTGTTACCGAGCGCTCCGAGAGCTCAGGCGGCCTTAGAGGGGCTGGTTTTGCTCACTGACTGACACGATCGGCCAGGTTGCGGATCGATGGGCTCAGATATTTGTTTTAGTCGCGCCATTCTGTGGTTTCTTTCCCGTGACTTAACAAACCAGTAAAACGCCTTTGGGCGAAAAACGAGCGAGCGAGATAGTGAGCCCTGCACGTGCAGAAGGGCGAGAGGGTACTTCCAACGGGCTTGTGCAAAGCACCCTTCTAACCGGTCGCTAGCGGTGTACCAAATTTGAACGCAATCGGCCCAGCCGTTCCTGAGATCTGGAAGCGGCATTCTGCACGTGCGCACGTGCAAACGGGGTCCAAATGACTTTTGCACGGCACCCTGCTAACCGGTCCCCAACCGTGTGCCAAATTTAGGCGCAATCGGCCCAGCCGTTCTCGAGATCTGGAAACGCCCCCTGCACGTGCGCACGTGCAGCAGCACCCTGACCGCAACACATGGGAATGTATTGCCTGGTGGGTGCCTACCTGTATGCCAAGTTTCAGCGAAATCGCCCCAGTAATTACCGAGTTACTGAAATGGGAACAAATTTGGCACCTCTTATTGTTGTATTTTGCACGTGCAGTGGGGGTCACTCACATAGATGAAGAGTATCCGACCTTTGGTAGAAGGGATGCAGCTACCCTATAAAAATGACCGCAAGACAATCGCTCAAGCCACTGCTGAGATATGGGCCTCTCAAAATCATTACTTTTGCAAAACTGCTTGAACACCCTTGACTTTTCACGTGGCACGTGCCACGACGGTCACTGAGATGTATCAAAAGTAGTCAATTACGGGGTAGAAGGGATGGGGCTACCCAGCAAAAAAGACCGCAGGCCAATCGGTCCAGCGGTTGCTGAGATATAAGCCTCTCAAAAGCGTTACAGGCCGGGCCGGGCCGGGCCGCTCATACTGAGATTTTTCCGTTATATTGAAAAGACTTCGCTTCGCTCGCTACGCTCGCTCGCTCGTAATTATGAATGCCATGATAGGTTGTCGGATGTCTTATCCCAGCAAATGATCTTCACGCGAAAGCCCTGATCAGATTTTTTTTTTTAAGCTGACAAATGTGTTTTCCCGATGTCTGCCGTGTTTTGTCCGTATAACGCGTTGCGTGTTTGTCTCACATCAGTTCCCATCACGTCACGTTACATATCACCTCGCTGACGTGCCGTCCGCCGCTCTGTCCGGCAGATTCGTCCGGCATCAACTACTCCCCTCCGCCGCACTGTCAGATCACCGTCAAACCGTCACGAGAGGTGAGCTGGGGCGGCGACAGGCGGGGGACAAAAAAAAAAAAAAAAAAAAAGAAACGGTCTGAACCGACACAAGGTGGGAATAGGTACCGAACACAGGAACTCTGAGGCGTTGTCATTAGGTAAGGTTAATTTGGGTAGCGACGGGCGGGGAACAGAATCAATAAATCAAGACTGGGACTCGCCAGGTCGTAGGACACCCCAGCGCCGATGCTTTGAATATATCTTAATCTCTCGTGTCAACTATCTTTATTTCCAACCCCGTTTAGTCAGTCAACCAATCTCACACACCGTCCACATAATCGGCCGGCGTAACCCTATGTATAAACTCGCATCCCCTCCGTCAGGTGGGCGGCTACACGGGCTTCAGCGACGTCATCAAGCGACTCGACTTCAAGTCTGCGCTGCACGACGCGCGTCGCTTCAACTACGTGTGCAAGCTGCTGGAGCTGCTGATTAACGAGAGTGTGATGTCGCTCTCCGGTACTGCCCAGAAGGTTGTCTTCTCACTGCTGGAGGAGCTCGCCCATACCGGTGAGAGAGGGATGGGGTTGCGATTGGTTGTGTTGGCAAATGAACTAATAGTCGATGACGATGGTTGCTTTCAGGGATGCGGAGCCGTGGAAATTTCAGACGGCTCCGGCTCCGGCTCCGGCTCCGGAGAAAAAAATCGGCTCCGGCTCCGGCTCCGGCTCCGGGTGAAATGTTATGGCGGCTCCGGCTCCGGCTCCGGCTCCGAGTAAAATGGTCCGGCTCCGGCGGCTCCGGCTCCGGAGGCTCCGGCTCCGACTCAGTACATCCCCTATGCAATCAATTAAATACGGGTGGAAGAAAAATTGGATTGGTTATACGCGTTACTCTTTGCCATGACCGGCTCATGACCGCGTCCCCGCGCAAACGCACCTCGGAGAGAACTGGCAGAACAAAGGACTAGGAAGCGATGGCATTGGAAACGCAGTCGCCGCGAATCGGAGTTCACTGAACCATCGTAAGCTGACACCCGTCTCGGCAGAGACGGTGCTGGGAGTCGCAGTCCACTGCACTGGCTTGAAAACAATGGCCGTCACCTGATGACCGGTCCTCATGTTCTGGGGATGCAGTAGACGTGGGGGGGGGGGGAGGGAGGAGCAGACAGGAAGTTGATTGCGTACTGTGGGATACTGGGGATATTCGGCTTTTTTCATTCACTTGATGGCCCATGACGTAAGTACATACCATATGTTCCACTGCCTTGTACTGTCAAACCGAACTAGGTCAATTATTTTTTTTTTCCTCTTCAAAAAATAAAAAGGAGCCGGAGTCGCCCCCTTTTTTGGCGGCTCCGGCTCCGGCTCCGGCTCCGGTCTATATTGTTTCACGGCTCCGGCTCCGGCTCCGGCTCCGGCTCCGGGCAAAATATGCCGGCTCCGGCGGCTCCGGCTCCGACTCCGGCTCCGGCTCCGCATCCCTGGTTGCTTTAGTCACTGCATGATTCGTGACCAGCAGACCAGGTATTGCCGATATTTTGCCATCTAAGACGTTACAGTGCTCTTTTTTAGATCGTACATACAGACTTGCCTCCGATCTCCGCTTTGCGTGTGTCGCTGCCAGTTTTGGCGAGAAGGCTGCTTCGGTGCCGAAATCTGACGATACTTATTTCGCCGCAGTGTCACACAACAAGTCGAACCTGCGCGTGCTGAACCAGATGCTGGAGAACCTGAAGGCGATGTTGATGGAGTACTACTGCTTTGGCCAGCAGCTGGGCTCGTCACCGCTCTGGGAGCAGCACCACCAGGCCATCAGGTGGGATTATAGGACATACTGGCTGGGTAGTGGGTCAGCGAAGCTTGCAGGTCTGCTGATAAGAGTGGTTTGATGCCTTTTCTGTCCATGCCGTATCGTAGGCGTTTTGTTGTCATAGGCATTTGGCGTGATCGGTGCTTTTAGACCAGCGCACTGTCTGTGCGACAAAACTGCCTGCTTCTTCGTAACCGTGTCTGACTGTGCTGCCCTCTACAGCCGGGACTGGCGGAACTGTTCCCGTACCAAACCTTCATCCGCGCTCCAACTGCGCTCCACCTGTCAGTCTGACGTTCCGTTTCCCACTCCGACAGCCGTATCCGGGCGGTGGCTCAGCAGATCCGTCTGGACGGCGGGCCGGCGCCGTTCGCCCTACACCGCCTGCCTCCCGAGTGTCTGCGCGAGGTGGTGCTGCGGCTCAACGACCACCGCGACCTGGCCAGCTCGGCACAGGCCTACCGCGTGCTGGCAGAGATTGCTGAGGAGAGCCGCATCTGGCGGCAGCTGTGTCAGTACCACTTCAGCGGCGCGCAGATCCAGGCCCAGCTGGTGGCTACTGGGGTCCGGTCGGCCTCGGCACCGCCCACCGAGCTCACTGCGGCCACTGTCGACTGGCAGGTGAGCAGGGAGAGGGGAGGGTAAGGTCAGGGTGGTGGATGTGGGTCGGAGTAGGAAGAGCTAAGCATAGGTTCATACAGGGTCGGGTTAGAAAACAGTGATGGGCGATCGGGATGGGACGAACGTTGCAAGAGCAAATTGGAGCAGTGTTGAGTGTCAATGCAGCTGAGTTGAGCTAATGTCCGATAAGTAGGTACTATGCATGATGGCTGCGTACTGTTCCTTGGTTTCGTGTAGGCGTTATAACCCGTACTGACGCCACATTACCCGCCCAGGCGCTGTACCACCGCCTGCGGCGCCTGCACGGTCTGCGGGAGGAGTACGCCGAGATGGTGCACCTGTGCCGCGCGTGCCGCTGTCTCTTCTGGAAGCCGCTCGGCCACCCGTGCTCGGTGAACTTGGCCCGCCTGCCGGCAGACGAGCGCGACCGCTACTGCGTGCCCATCCCGCCGCTCACCTTCCTCACATTCTTCTCACTGTGAGCGCCGGAGGTGAGAGCGGAGAGGGGCGAACGGTCGGCTCACAGCGAACGGCGAAACGAGTGACTGAGGAGATAAGGAAAATTGATAAGTATGGCGGAGAAAGATGAGAAATTTGAAACTTTGATGGTACCGTCCTGAAAATTTGAGTTTGCTTACCGTCCAAAGACTCTTTCAACCGCGAGCTTGTTGAGTCACCAAACTTTCGGAGCTGGAAGGCGAAACGTCATCACAAATTCATCGATTCTCCTGAAGTCGAATAGTTCCAACATCGCGAGGTTAGTTGCTGTGGAAAGCGGGAGGAGCCTGAGATATACTCTGCTGGGCCGGTCGATGGCTGCCTCACAGGCAGCAACGGGTGATAGTGACGTCATCGTTGTCAAAATGACGTCATCAGTTGAGAGAATGGCGTCGTTGGATGAACCTCCTTGGCGAAGGACGTTTTCCTCGAGATGTTATATTTTACGAGCATGTGAAGTGGACGGCTGCATTTTAATGTTTTAATGCTGTTTTCTTTCATAAGGTTTTCAGTGGTAATGGTTGCATTTTCTCTGTTCTTGTGAGTTTTGCATTGCGTTCTTCCTTTTAGCAGATGCAAGAGTGTTCTTTGATCCATGGCGCAGCTACTTAGCTTTCGATGTGATCTGATGTGCATTTCGTGCGTGCGTTGTATTCATCAGCAATATTTTAGTCTCGTTTGCAGTTGGTTTGTGTCAGTTGGTGATCGTTCCGGCTCGGATTGTGTCACTAGTGTCACAGTGTCAGTGACTGTGCGTTCCGCCGCAGACGAGGCAGGTCGGACACAAGGTACGCGTCCCGACCAGCCCTCAGCAAGCGGGAGGGACTTTTGTCAAGCCAGGATCGGGATGTGGTATGTTTAACGCCGGTAGGCCGGGCAGGCCCTGGCTCAGACTAGAGCCGGCGGACTGCAGTCTCCGCCGCGGGATCCAGGGGGTCATGGTGTCCTGCTGTAGGGCGGGGACCGTAGGGAGTCATTGTGACGTGTCCTCCCTCAACAGCTGGTGCTACGTAGAGATTCGTCAGGCGTCCCGAGCCGCACTGAAGTCATAGTCGTAGGGTAGCGCGAATGTGTTGTTAGTTTTGAACCACTTTCGGTTTTGGTGCACTAATACGCAATTCATTCTTTTTTCAGGTGCAAGTTGAAGTGAAAATCGTTCAATACTAACAACGTTGCGCGGTGTTAGCTTTAAGTGCGTACGACGCCTGTCCACACTAGAGATCTATATCGGAATATGCAATATGCTCTATTCTTGTCCAGTGTCGTGCAGTCTGGTGATGCATAATGGACTCCAGTGCCGGTGGCAGAGTCCGTAGCGGCCAGCGCTGGCTGCCTCACAGTCACAGTCGGTGTCGAGGGGGCTGGTCGCGCAGTGATGTCCGCCGCCAGCCGCCCCAGCCCGACCCGTACCGGCTAGTTCGTGTGGTGATAACGAGTGTTCGCGCGAGGCCGGGCCGAGAATCTATTTTTACGCAATATATCTGTCAGAACGTGGTGGGATGTTTCCAAGAAAAAAAAGTTTAGCTGAAACGTTGATTTTCTTGTCCGATGAACACTGTTGGAGAGTGAGACAGCGAAAAAGATGACCATTTTAGCCTCGTATTCATTTTCCCACGCAACAGAGACAACGATGGTGATGCACAAACAATGAACATAGTCGATAATGGGTGATGCCAAACCCGCGATAAAACCATTGGCGAGCCATCGACACCGATAGGGCTGATGGCGAAACAATCACAGCACATGATCCGTGGGTCACCAGACCCGTACATACTGACCACTGACGACCACGTTATTGCTGACAGGAGAGCTCGGGTCAGGTCACCGCGCAGGAGAGGTCAAAGCGGGTCAGGTCACCACCCCGGAGAGGTCCAACTGGATCAGATCACCGTCCCGGAGTAGGTCAGGTCGCCCCGGAGGGCTCAACTCAGTTCAAGTCACAACTAGAGCAGGGGATGTCTGCACGGGTCACCGCTCAGGAGAGTTCGGCCCGGGTCAGGTCACAGCTCACTGTTCAGGTCCCCACCCTAGGAGAGGTCAGGTCACCACCCAGGTCACCTCTCAGCCCCGCCCAGCGGCACGTCAAACCTCCGGTTCCCGCAGCGGCACTCCAGCCGTGTGACGTCACAGACCAGCGGGCTCTGGCTGGCGTAGGTGGCCACGGCCGTGTCCAGTTCGGGCAGCAGCCGCTGGAGGGCAGCACTGCGGTCGCCCACCGCCCAAGCCACCGACAGGTGGAACGAGCCCTCCTGGGGAGAACAGGCCGTTTCGTGGTAACAGGTCAGAAAAAGGAGGCGACGCGGGTTATAGTCGCCCACGATTGTAACGAAACGCGTCCTTAGGCGGTCATTGTAACCTTAAATGGGACCTGTGAGACTGCAACGCCGTGGGCTTTAGCAATCTGGCGGATCCATGCATATCTTTCTGCACAAATAATGTCTGCTACGAATCCCTTTCCAACTCAGTTTCCCATTTCGAACCACAACACACCCCGGCTAAACGTTCAAAGATACGCCCCTCTGCCGCTACCCAACACGCGCCTCAGCCTTAGCACGGGCTGATACAGCAGCATCCCAGTCTCCCAGCTCAGCGGATTCACACAGTGCCTACCTCGTAGAACGGCGGTAGCCCGTACTCGTCCAGACAGCGGTCCAGCCTCTGACTCGTCTTTGTCACCGCCTCCAGTCCGGTGGTCACCGTCAGACCCAGGAAGGTGCGCGTGCCCTCGTCATTGACGTACACCCGCGCCGGCCCGACCGACAACTGGAACCTGGAACGGAAGGAGTTCGGTGAACAGTCATTTGAGGGTTAGGTCCCAGTGTACTGTAACATCATTCTAGAGCTACAGGGTGATCAATAAAGAATGACATTAAGTTAGCACCCACGACAGGCACATAACATGTATTTTAATACATAAAAGCACACCGTTAGAATGACAAATCTTGGACATTTGACATTTCATATGCAAATGTCAGCTGTGACACTTGGTTCGTCTACAGGAGGTGCTCAAAGTTCCCTCCCCTCTATGCGCAGCGGAGCTCAGCCCGGGCCGCTTGTGCCGCGCCACACGTGGCTGCCGATCATCCTATGGGCGAAACCTTCGGCGACTCACGGCAGCCTTCAGGTCATCAAGGGTCTAGACCTCGCTTCGCGGCTTCTTGACCTGTTTTGGGGTAAAAGCTGAAATGGAGGCAGGAAAAATCCAGAGTAGGGTGGCCAGTGGTGCTGGGTCCTTGCTGATTCCTACAGAGGTGGAGAGTCCATAGCAATTCTACAAAATCAACACAATATCCACGTTCGCATGGCTTCAGGAGACATGGAAATGTCCTTCTGGAATGTATGGACAAATTACCGCCAGAAACTGAACTGGAAATCATACCGTCCGATCCTTAAGACCGTCCTCTCCTTTGACAGCAATGTCTCGAGACTGAAAGTGTGCACCTTCTGGCTTGGTCAAACGGAAAGAATGATTCGAACGGGTGATCTGGAGTGACGAAAAATGGTTTATACAACAGCTAGTATCCAAAACGAAGAATACGGTCTCCTGGTCAACGACGAATCCACAGAAACTGATTCAAATCAAGAAGGAGCACGGAGTGGAAGTTATGGCCGAGCTCTGCCGCACGGAAAAGCTAAGGAACTTCGAGCATCTCCTGTAGGCAAACCAAGTGTCACAACTGATTTCCGTTTGTGTGATGTCAAATGTCCAACATTTGTCAATCTAACGGTGCGTTGTTTATGTGTAAGAATATAAATTATGTGTCTCCGGTGGGGGCTTACTTTATGTCATTCTTTCTTGATCACCCTGTACCTTACCAAAAGCTGATCATAACTAATCGAAAACAGATAATCGGATGAGTCAGATAAGGAGAGCTGGAAGTTGTTAAATCTCTTTCAAGACCAAACTATCATTTCCGAAATTGAAGATTCGTAAAAACCTACCTTTGGAACGACTCCATGGCTTGTCTGATGGACTGGACAAACTCCTGAATCCAGTGGTGCTTGAGCACCACGGTGCGTGTCAGGCTGATGTGAAACTCCTCCTGAGCCGTCATCTTCACCAGTCGCTCACAAATCACCAGGCACGTCTGCACCAGCGAATCGAACAGCGGCGTCGCCTCGAACGGGATGAACACGTACGAGGCCCAGTTGCCGCGCACGTGCGCAAAGCCCCGCACCCGGCCCTCGTGTTCGTCGGGCTTATCTTGGTGTTGCTCGCTTTGGTCTGAGAACATCTCCTGAACAGCGGAGGGCAAAGGCAGTGCCTCGCGGGGACGCTTTGATTCGGGCGCGGCCCGGTCTGAGTTACGACGCTTTTCTGCGAGTCGTTCCACGTCGACCTCCATGTCAGAGTCAGAGTCAGACTCAGAGCCCCCATACTGCTGCAGAGCTGATAGGGCGGCAGGCTTCCGGTCCTGGGGAGATGTGACGACCCGTGACTGGCACCGCGACATGGCTTGTTTGGCTCGTATGATACCCGTCGTAACCAGGAGAGAGCCAATGGATCTGGCGGAAGAGAAAAGTACTTTGGTTAACATTGCAGCAAGCAACAAGATTCTGCATTATTACTCAATATATCAATCCACCCATCCAAATAGGTATTGCATGGGTGGTATACTAGCTGAGTCTTTACCACATTATTTTTATTCTAGCAACAAATGATCCAGATTGGGATTCTTTCAACAGCTCTGACTCATGACACATGAGTCTTCCTGGAACTTTAAATTTCACAGACTGCTGCCAACACTCGGATGCTCTAATATTGGCTGACGTCATCGGTTTAGGCTTATTGGAGGAGAGCTGATGTAATGCCATCAATAAGCCCCAGGTGCATGATGAAGATACAGCCCACTGCTAAAAAATGTGTGTTTGCTTCAATCTCAATTCTCAACAGATGGCTTTGACTGACAATTTTTAAATACTGAATACGGAATGACCCACCCAGGAGTAGACAGCAAAAGCTAAACTTGCAGCTGCATGGATGACAAAACATGTTGATGTGAGCTACATTCCAAATTTCATTGAAGTCTGGCAAATCGTTCCTAAGGTATGAAAGCAAAACATAACCATGACTGAAACCACAAATTAGGTAGGTACTTCTGAGGCAGACTGTACAAATATGTGAAAGTTGATCACATGAGTACATCCTATAACTTGAGCTCTATTTAACTCAGGATCATTTGTTAACCAGAAAGCTCAGGCTATATTCCAAACCAATTCATCAGTCAATTTATTAAGTAACAATAACACATCAGTCGGTGACACACCAGGGAAATAAGCTAAAATTAGAGCGCTCTATTTATTGCTTCCGCTACTTCACCGTCTCCCATAGGGTCCTGTGTTGAGCTGGTGTCGAGGCTCTAAAAATGACGCCGATTTTTGCACCCTTCTCACGAAAACCGCTCGGACCGCCTGGAAACCAATTGTTCCGCTCTAAAAATTTCATGATCGACGGGAAAATGAACGAGGAAAAGATTGGTCCTGAAATAATTCTGAACTCCCTGTAGAACATATCGAAATATGGCTGCAAACTAGAAGCATGTCAAAATCGACAAAACAATACAAATAAACGTACAGGGATTTTTTTATTTTCCATGCATCTGTGTATGAAATCAGTCGCTTTTTCGGAAAGATCATCTTCTGTTTAATAAATAATTCCACAATTGCAATCGAGAAAAAAAAAACATTTCTGCTGTGACAGCAGTTTTGGCATTATGCCAGTTGTGTGGCGTGCGCGGTGCTGCGTGGTCGTTGGGACGGAGTTGTGAGTATTTTCGGTGTTTAAAATGGTTGATGGCCATTTGAACCAGCTTTACATTATTTCCTACCAAGTTCCGCATCAAATTATTGCTTTGAAAGACCATTGAACCCCTTATCTCTTCATGAAACACGATCATATTCATCGTCGACGAAAATGGCGCGGGACTCCAGTTGCGTTTCGATCGAAATAAATCGTAAATTAAATAATATTCGATGATAAGTATCATATTCTAGTGACGTATTTTCATAAAATAAGGCATAAACTTTGCAAGGAAGTCAACATTGGATAATTGAATTCTTATTTTGCTCACATATCCTTGTAGTAGTCAAATGGCTCAATTGTTAGATAAATGTAAATATATGTTTTGGCTTGATGTTTGCTATGAAACCACCCAGCCACTTGCTCGTTGAGTGGTTTTCTGATAATTACCTGATAATCATTTCTCCTTTTCCTTAAAAGAAACTAAAATTCTTTTCAAAGTAACCCATTTTTAGGAAAGTCGGCTTGCTCATTGACATTTCATGTTCTTGTTTTGTTATTGCTGGCAGTATTTTGATACAATAATGCAATATGAATTTCTTGCAATAATAAAACCTAAGACAAACTTCGTTAATGCGTCAATCAAACACCCAACAGAAAGATTGCGAGTCCTTGTGACGTGAAGTAGAATATTCTATGAATGTGTTTTATAGAATATGCCAAATTTTAAATCAATTTATTATTTGATACTGATGGCTGAGCATGTGAATTATGCCACAATATAATTTTATTTTCTGGTTTTGAAATAGCCGGCAGTATTTTACTTCAACAAATGTAATATACATGGAATACATGTTGTTATGTTATGTTAAAAGTTTAATAACAGCCAACAGAAGGGGCTGTTTCAGCAGATAATGTTTGTACCTTATGCATTACCTTTCTTTTCTGCAGGACCATGCTTCCGCTGGGTGGTCAACATTTGCCTCCTGAAGAAGTTGAGCAACATGAAGACCACCAGATGAGGTGTCTGCAGTTCATGTGGAACTCTGCAGACTACAAGTGTTATGCCAACCACAACCATAGTGCTGTGATCATGGAGGCATGAACCTCATGACAACACTTCAGATTTGCAGTTGTACCAAAGTGTGATTCAAACCACCTGTGGCATCTCACTCAATGCGTGAACAGTGTGATCATTGTGCAGTGTTCAGCTGCAACTAAGACATTTATTAGTGACTTGTTTTGCAATTAGCCACCAAAAGCATTTTTGGGCTGGCTGCTGTAATTTGTTGTGCACTGCGCAATAGTGGTAGTGTTTTGTCACTTGTCAAGTTGTCAGTTGTGCATGTTGCATGTTTCTCTCCCCTCGGCCCTCATTATCAGTTAAGTGGTGAATTGGCATCACTCAGTCTCCCCAGATCTCCTTTGGCTGTCTGTCAACCACCTAACTTGAGATGGTATTTGCTAATAGTGTCAGAAAAGAAGTGATTGTAGACATATTTTTTAGGAATATGAGCTCCGTTTCATGCGTGTTCCAGTGGTCATTTTGTCACATGTCCCATAGTGTAATAAATGGAAACTGTTGTTCCCTTTTGAAGGTACTCGCGGATGCAGAAAGCGTTGGGCCTAATTATTAAACGCACCCTCCTATCAGCGACGCACGAAATCGACAAATATCATCCTTTTTAGAACAGGAGGAAACGAAAACTTGTGAACATAGCTGTGCCTACAACAGTGCATAGGGAATTGAAATTCTGGGAGTTTTTGAAATTCGGAGAAACTCAAGTTGTCGACAGGTATGCCCCCTTGTACGTCTAAGACCGCCTAAAAAAAAAACGTCTACAAATGAAGGTAGTATTCGTATGTTCGTTGTAATTGCAGCAGCCTAGCATTTAGCAACATGCATTGCGGTCCGATGGCGAATTACACTCGTGCTCAAAAACTATGCCGGCAACTGCCAATGCACTTAGGTCATAGGTGAGGAGAGGAAGGGGTATGTCAAATGTCAATATCATAGAAATGGCTTCTTCTATTGAGCTGTGCCTATTGTACATAATTCAACCAATCTATGCATTTCGTTTCTTGCAATCTACTCATGCTTTCACTCCGGCTTCAGAGTAATCATCCCATATTGTACGTCTTAAGATATTGATTTCTATGGCAGTTCGCAATTGCTAGCCACGTCTCACCTCAGTTTGGTGGCCCCGCATCGCCCACTCGGCCGCTCTAAAATTGACTTACGGAGGAGGATGGTGGCTTTTATTTTAGCTTCTCCGCTGACTGCGGGGAGCGCCGTCGCCGAGGTAGGAGCAATAATTGGCTTGTGTTTGGGACTAATTTCCACGCTTAATTATCATTTTAATGTTATTTTAATTAATTCATGTTAATCTTTGACGCATTCTCTTTCTATTGATACCATCCACCGGTCTGAGAAGTACTGCCTTGCTGCGTAAGGGCTGATAAAAGATCACGCTTTTAGGGGTATCTCTTCAACATGGGGCAGGAGCAATAAATAGAGCGCTCTAATTTTAGCTTATTTCCCTGGTATGTCACCAACTGACATTGGCATAGTCTCTTTGGATTGATTTTGGTACCAAACTTGGTTGGATATGATCAACGGGGCAAAAGAAGTCGGTAGTCTTGCTTACCACAAATGATAACACTGATTCACTCTCTTATTTTCTGACTTGTAATAATATTAGTGCAGTCCAGAGATGCAATTTTGTTTTCTATGCGTCGTTACACGCACCTACAGTCTACACGCACGTGAAATGCACAAAGTAAAAACTGTGTTCTTCAATATGCTTACAGCATTCGATGATGCTGCAGTTGCCTAGCAACTAGCTTTCACCCAATCGTTTGCTGTTGAAGGCTGGGCGTTGCTGGGCAACTGTCGGACTGTAAATAGTATTCGAACAATAAATTTTGACCTCAAAGCGCCATAGTTGTCGACCTTTGACCGATACTCATGAAAAATATGCTACTAAATAATAACTCCGGCTAATTTTAATGTAAAATGAATAACAAGCTTCGTAATAAAATAGTTGTACGATAAATCATCGCAACTTTCCATGTGATTGCTACAAGACAGTGATAGGGTCATGAAATGTTTTTTGTCTACATACTTCTCCCCGTTTGTGAGCGTCAAAAAGACGTTTTGGCCCGCTCTGCTTGCAACTTTTTGAGCAGTCAGTGAAAACAATGTGAGATGGGGACGAGTTCCGGAGTTCCATTGCCAAAAGATCGTTAGAAGCTGGTTAGAAGGCCATACCTGCTTGTCAGGGTCGTACATAAATGGTGCATAAATGATTGCTATTGGCAACTTTAGGATAAGCACCTTCCGGCTCCCTAACCCGAAACCTTCAAAATAGATGCTGGGTTTAGTCGTAAACTATTTACGGCGACAATGACAGCATACATGCATAAAAAAGAGCAGATCCAGTCGAACTGAAGCTGTAGCGCAATGGGCCTTCACAAAATAGATAAAGAACGAGCGCAAATAAAAAAGTGATTCTCGTGAGCTACCAACAGCGCATGTGTATTGTCAGGTCAACTGAAATGTAAACGATCCCAGCACAGCTACAAAGTTCGAGCGAGTCCATCCTGTCGTACTATTGTAATTAATGTAATCTACAACTTACAAGTCACATTTCAGAACACACTATGCAGCGCGCAAGGCTTTCACGCCCTTCACAACGAACATAACCACAGCCTTTCCAACACAGGTTCACTCTGAACATGACAAGAGCCACGACATTCTTAAACAGCGTGAAAAGCGGCTCCTCCACAATTTACAACCACCTAGCAACGCCAAGAAACTGTACACGTATCATCACTAACGTAAATCCGCACAGTCCACCTGATCAGTTGCACAGCTGTAGCGAGCTCCATTACACCACCGTAGGACCAGAAGTACCAGGACGTACTTCAACAGGTCCCGGCTCACCGGGTCGAGCGGGCTCCCCGGGACTGTTGGTGTGCAGGTGTTGTGTCGGCGCTTCCTCTGTACTCTGAGACCCCTCCGCGCCATGTTGAAGTTCTTCCTCTCTCTGATGAGGCTCTTCCTCTCGATGATGGCGCCCCTGCTCTCCCTGATGCCGATTTTCCCTGTGGTGGCTCCCTGACTCTCGGTGGTGCTCACGGTGTTCCTCCCTGTGGTGCTCGTGCTGCCCCTCCCCTCTGTGATGATGGTGGTGGTGGTGCCGATCCTCCCCGTGGTGATGGTGCCGCCCCTCGCGATGCTGCCGGTGTCCGTCCCCGTCCGTCCTGTCCCCTCCTCCCCCGGCCAGCCGCTCTCGCAGCTCCTCATCTGGCGGCATCAGGGCGTCGTGCATGGCGTGTTTCCAAGTACAGGCGCGCGCTTCACCGACGAACTGGAGCCAGTTGCGCTGGCAGAGCGCACCCACGGCCGGCTCCATACACACCTTGCAGTACGGGTCCGTCAGCAGGCTCTGGATGGAGATCAGCACCTGACGGACGGAAATCCGTCACACAGTGCGCAGAATGTTGGACTTCGGAAATACGGCATACGGTGTGCAGTGTGCACCTTTCCTGAAGCTAACTATACCAAGTTTCTAATCGAGTGAAAGATTTAAAAGAACGAATAATAGACGAATGAATTGATGCAAAGATTGAATACAACTCGATAACACACCGGTAAGATTGTACGTCGATACGTAAAAAACTAACGAACGAATTTCGACTCGATCCATTTAGCAGTACATTGAAAACAGCTCGGTTGTAGCAAACCGAGTATCGACAAATAGACTTCATATTTCATCACCACAAGCCAGCCATACCCTCCAAACACTCCCGCGTACCTTTCCGATGGTGAGAGCCAGCGTCCAGTTGTGATGTATCGAATCAATGCCGATGTCACCGTGCCGTGACACGTTCGGATGGAGCACCTTAGTGATAAACCGCACCACGGGCGGTCGCAGGGGGTAGCTGTCGGGCACCTGGAGGTACAGCAGGAACACACCGCCCTCGTAGGCGCTGCCGGCCGGACCGGTGATACTGGCCTGCCAGTGGCTGTAGGTGTCATCCAGAGGAGTGGCGCGGATCCCCTCCGGCGGGTCGGCCTTCAGCGCTGCAGGGAGAAGATGGGAGTGTTAGTGATACGTGGCCCTGCGGCGGGGGAGATTATGACAGATCTCCTTCGGCGGGTAACACTCAGCTGACTGCGGCGACGATCAGAAAAGCGGAGATGCTAAAGGCGTATGAATGGGCAGTGGACAGTTCACACTTGACAGGTCTTGGTGCTATCGTACACAACTGACACAAGGTAAACGACTTCTGCTGTTGATGCACTCACCGTTCTGCTCGTGGACGAGCCGCCGTCGTCGGAAGGACCTCTCGTCCTCGACAGTGCGGCAGTGGGGAGTCATCTGGTGCAGGCAGAGCAGGCACGGCGCGCTCTCAATTCTACAACGGGCGGCAGATGAGAGTCAAAGGCGCTGATAAGGTACAGGAGACACGCTAAAGCAGGCACGTAGTGCTCTCAATCCTGAGACACACACCTGACGGTTTAACAATGTCAGAACCCAGAAGCAGTATAAGTATGACGGCACGGAGAATTACTAAAGTCATATGACATAGCGCAAGCGCATCAATACCGATAGTTTGGGACCATCCCTAGTCGTAAGAGACTAAAAACCTTGAAAATTTGGTTAAACATAAGACACGTATAAAACCAAACGATAGACTGCGTAGGTATCAAGACTTCGCTATTCCGGCAATGAATCCCGAAGTTTTGACGATGTAATTAGTTAATTGCCAAATCCTGGGCTGCTGAGGAGCTACTGTGATTTCTGGCGTCTGCACTCACAGTTTGGCGTAGATGTAGGACCAGCAGTGGACCCGGTACAATGCGCGGAACAGCGGGAACCGCTTCTCAGTGAACCGGTGCCACTCCTCGTCGGGCACGTGCGACATCAGCAGGTGGCGCCAGCGTTTACAAACGTTGCTGACCGCCCACATCGAGATGTCGTCCAGGTAGCCGAAGATCACCAGGAGCACTGCAACAAGAGCAAAATACAGATAATACTGATCGGTTCCCATTTCCCAGCTCATTAGTTTACATAGTCATACAGCTGACAATGCCCCATCACATCAGCATTGGAGGAAACAGAGTTGTCCATTTACTCAATCCAAACTGATACCTACTCCATTGAAATGCTTTAAAGAATTTCTAAGGCCTAATATATGCCAAAGAGAACTTTTCACGAAGGCTCCTGCATCTTCTGTCTCACCAGGACAGTGCATTGGGAGTGATACCTCTCACAAATGTATCTTACAAATGTTCTCAAATCGAAATGATGGGGCACCGTAGGTCCCCGAGCGTTCAAGCTATCAGTCTGAGTCTCAGTCTGGATGATCACATCCCCCTTTCCGGAGGCAGTCGTACTTTCTCTGGTACCCCAGCCCCAATCCGACCCCATACTATCTGAGCGTCTCACCCTCTGGAGGAAGCCGTCCCATGCTGGCCGTCGTCGCCCCGTCGGCCGGGTGGGGCACGCTCAGTCGCTCCACACGCTCCGCCAGACGGTCCACAGCCGGCGCAGGAGGCGGCAGCGGCGGCGGCGGTGACGGGGGCGGCATGGGCGGCGGTGGCGAGCGGGCTCGCCGGCCGCCGCCACCACCGGCCACGGCGAACAGGTCCGGGGGCTCCTCATTGCCGCTGTCACTGTCGTCTGACTTCTGCTGTGGAGAGAGATGATGAGGGTAATGGTGTTTAATGTTTGGTAGATAGGTGATATGATACAATATCTAGGTGTTATTACACATTTCCAAATAAAAAAATATGCTACGCAATAAGCACTACTCATACTACATCGTCTTTAAGGCACTGAGCAGTGAGCATACAACTTTGAACTTCTCTGCTTCTGAAGACATCCAATGGTGCATCAGAGTGAGAAGCTGCCATGTGTGACGCTAGTCACCAGGCAGAAAATGTATGAGCAGTAACAGTCAAGAGCAACATTAAAATTGACCAAATTCTTTATGCATCCATCGGTGAATGAATGTTCTTTAATTGCATTTACCTCTGAAGTCAGGCCAACATAGGCCTCATGGTTTACATCCTCTGGGAAGAGGAATAGGTGGCAGGTGGAGCACACATACTGGCCAAATGACATCCCATAGAAGCCATCACAGTACAGGCACTGCTGTGGTGCATCTGCCTGGAACAAAAGAACAAGATACAGTCAGCTTCACACAGCAGGTCTAAAAGGAAAAAGACTGGATGTTAAAAATGGCAATACTGCTGAGTGGTGACATGGACAGGACTCTTTACAAGACTTAGAAGACTTGAAAAAAGACAGCTTAAATAATTCAAATTTTCAAGGAGTGGTCAGAACTGGGGGCCAGAGAGGCCAGACTGATAGGCATGACAAACTAGAAGAGATATATTGTCAGTGATGGGATACTCCACTGATGCATTGTGCACTGCTCTTGCTGGCTTACCAGGTAATGGTGTGACTTTTGGACGCCGGTGAAAACAGAGCGCCAGAGGGCATATTAGTCATGTGACATTTGGAACTTCTCCCCCCCTCCATGGGCCTTCTGCATGCTAAACGTCACGTGTGAATTTCACAAACCTTGATCAAATCGCCCCAGGCACCCTGTTTTCACCATCATCCTGACTTTTGTGTAGGGTGGCCCAACATGGTACTGGGTGGAAGTGTTGACCTTTTATTTTAGTTGTCTTATCACAAGTGCAGATTTATAAATTCTGTAGCAAAAATTATGTGTTATTTGGTGTAAGCTGATGCAGATAACCAGCCTGATTGGTGCTGTCTGGTAGATCACAGTGTTGGAAATGAGGCCTCTTTCTGGTCCCGATGTTTTATTCTCCGGTTGGGTTAGCCCTGTCCCATGTTAACTTTTGGGGCCTACTCATGGTCGGGTTGTATTCGCCGCTCGCCTCACTCAGCCCCAGTCAAGATGCAAAGTTAGTGGTCACACGAAGCCTTTTAAAGGCAAGCCAAATCGGCCTAGTCCGGAGTTATGTTTAAGGCATGCATATTAATGAAAGGAATTAACTTCGAAATCGTATACTCAAGAGGCCCAAAAATAAACTTTTTAAAAATTGTCTACTAAAATGATAACATTTAGCAAAAAGATAAATAAATCAAGGCACTTGACGAATGACGGCCATCAATATCAAACACGGGAAATTGAAATCAAAATTCGGAGTGCAACACTCACCCCTTCGTTCCCATTGGGGTCCATTATTTCTCAATAAGATGCAAGAATAGATACAGCACTAGAAAATCACAAACAAGCCCTAAAATATTTCCAAATAATATTCAATTCTCAAAACCATTCTCTCCCCCAGCTGAGACAATGGAGCATGACTTTGTTGTCATTTTCTGCGACATAATTCCCGCAACTAAGACAAAATTGAAGGGTCACGTTAGCTAAATTGTAATATGCTCGGAATGCTGAGACACCATCATGACCACAAAGTTATTTTCATGCTAAATGCTTTATACGCGTTTTAACGTTTAGTGTCATGCCTCGCATTAATCTTAAACGTATTTTTTCCCTCGGTATTCTTATTGCTTAAAAAGTTATTAGCTGGATGTTTTCCGTGTGACAGTGCGAAAGACGTTTGTAGACCCGACTCGGTGGTAGGAGACCGTAAAACGGCATACGCCTTTAGCAGCTCGCAGCGACGCAGTTCTTGCACCTGAGGTGACAGAGCCACGCAATGCGGGAGGACTATGGACCAGGTCCATTCACTGCACCACTTGTATTCACGTCCTGACCTCAATGGACGAAGTGGTCTGGTGATAGGCCGTACCCTCGTCACGCTGCATATCGAGCTTTATCTCAAAATGGCACGAGGTCCCCGGTTGGTTCCTGTGTCCCATAACCACCCATCTTTAAGCAGCAAGGCTCGCCGAAACCAACACTCTCATTGGCGGGATAAGCGTTCAGATCGACGCACGCACCCAATTTCTACGTGGGTCGTGGAACTGCCGGGAGTCAGCCACACTGCTTGGCACATATATGTATTTGTTGGCGAGCTTAGCCACTTTTTGACACTGGTTCCCTTCATTTTTTTTTTCTCACGGGCCCTTTATATAGATATGTCACAGACTGCAATCCGTCCTGTGAGCAATGTAATTACAATTCCTCCGAACCTTTTGCAAGCAATCGTTAAAGCGCATAATTCATTGATAAGCCCGACATATGCGTCATGCCATTCCGAAGGGGGTTGTTTCCGTTCCCGCTGGCGTGTATCTACTCGCTGGGCTAAAACAACGAATGTTCCCTCGGCCATCTACTGTGTCCACCCCCCCCGCCATCTTCGTCATCCAACCAAACACATCGTCTGCAAAACGGTGGCGTATATATTCACCAGCGATCCCGCGCCGGGGCGGGGGGCCGCACGGCCGGCACGGGAGACACATTGGGGGGCTCCGGCGCAGGGCCCGAGCGGCTACACTGACTTAGAAGATATCACAATGGACGCGGCGGCGGCGGCGGCGGCGGCGGCGGCGGAGGTCAGGTCATGTCGCCGACCACAGTGACGGTGGCGGCGGCGCGCAGCACCTGACGGTCCGTGAACACCTCACACACGTACTCTCCACTGTCGCCGCTCTCGGCGCCCTGGATGGTCAGCCGACACGTGCCGTCGTCATCCACCGTGTGCGAGGCGCGGCCGCCGTCCACCACGCGGTTCCACGGGTCGCGCCACTGGGCGTCCACCACATCCTCGGGCTGGCTGACGGTGCACGACAGCACCACCGTGTCGCCGGCATACACGGTCACATCGGACGGGGCGCGCCGCAGCCGGCACGGCGGCCGGCCCGGCTCCATGAGCCGCACACTGACGTGGCGCCGCTCAGTCTGGTCCGAGGAGTGGCGCTTCACCTCGCGCGGCGGGCCGCCGCTCGGCCGTCGGAACCGGAACGCCCAGTTGGTGCGCCTCTGGAGCGGGTCGGCGGCGGCCAGCACGTGCGGCGGCACCCAGCCCTCGGCGGCCGGCGAGGTGCGCGTGGCAGCCCGGTGCACCAGGTAGCCGCGCGACCGGTTGTACGACACCACGTGGACGAGGTCGCCGCGCTGGACGTCCATCTCGTCCTCACACTCGGCATTGTAGGTGGTCACGACGGAAACCGTGGTACCCGCGGGAAACGGCGCCGCGCCTTCGGCCTGCCGATGGAGATCACGTCAGACACACCGCCGGGACACAGATCGAGCACAGGGGCAGGCGGGAGGGGGCGAGATTATCACGGTAAGACGTCTAGTCTCGAGAGTCGAGGGGCCAAGAAACAGCTTGAACAAGTGGTATGGAATATATATTCCCGACCGGGGCTGGGAAAATGCATTTTATTCACCGAGGTTTTTGTGCGGAGGACCGAGTGCCGGTAGGCACGAGGTCCGTAGCAAAAAACCGAGGTGAATAAAACTGCATTTTCACAGCCCAAGGTTGGGAAGAGATTTACCATATGCCGTACCGGCGCAACAGTTAATATCATATTCATTTGACATTTTACACTTTAATCTTAATATTGTGTTAATATTATATTAGTACTATGTTCATATTTATAGTCACCGTGATTATTATTTTTTTTTTTGTGTTTTTCATTATTGGGCTGCGTTGAGTATGAAAGATGAAATTCCTACTTCCCCCTTATTTAGGGTTTGAAAAAGCTGAGGATGAAGATGGTGAAGCGCCAGAAGTTAGAATAAAGATATGGAGTCCAGCAGGAGTGAGGAAACCGCGAGGAAAACTGAAAATTGGGTGAAACGCTGAATCAAACGCGTCTTGGATCCCAGCTGGAACAATATCAAATGTTTCATTGTGGCACGTTAAGATGCTTCACGCATTTAAATTGATCGTTTTTTGCGTGCATTATGTAGAAATAATTATTATTCCGATTTCCGACCATGTTCTGCAGCAATAAATACATCGGCATTGGAACGATAACCTTGTTTAGTTGAATTACGTTGACAGCAAAAGTAAGTAAACACGCAGTCACTTACTTTTGCTGTTGCTGTTAGTGAACACACAATCCGTAAATATCTTCTTTGAAATTGGTTCTTCCGCTCAGAATATTCAGTAAAATTTTGTCTGGGAAAATCAAAAAGCCCTAGGGCCGAATCGTTTCCCAAATACCTTCAACATTAGCCGAGGCGGGCCGAAGCCATTTCCCAAATGCACGTGCTAATGTTAAAGGGATATCTCGGCATGTGGTAAAAGAAATGAACAATCTTCCCTTCGATTGTTTTCGAAAACATAACTTCTCAAGTTCTCACCAACCCAAATAAATCATTCATCATTATATCCTTGGTATACTAATCCAAGAACCGATAAATAGCCCATGAAACGACTTCCTCACTTTGGTTATTGTTAGCCTAGTTATTTTTAGTCATTGGCTAGGACGGACCGGGTGGAACCAGTCTGTTACAGACACCAGTGAAGCGTCTCCCCACGGCAGTGCCACTACAAGAACCCCGCCCGGCGGCGGGCACACACAGGTCAGGGAAGGGCGCACTAGGTCACTACCCTTACCGACCTGTCCCGCCGTCCTCACGGCCTGTCCTCTCCCAGCGTCCTCCCCCGCACCCTGTCCTCACCTCAGCCGACGCATACAGCAGACTCGTCTCCGTTTTACGCGAGCGCAGCGTCTTCTTGAAGCCTGTCAGGAAGCCGGTGGGTTTCTTCTCGGTCTGCAGTGACAGTTTGCGCGGCTCGGTGGGACTGGGAAACTCGCCGCTCGGTGACGGAGCGCCGGCCGCCGGAGAGCTCGGCAGACTGGATGTCGGCGAGCGGACGGGCGCGTGCGGCGGCGGGTGGCCGTGCGGCTCGGCCGGCGCCGCGCCGTTGTCGAGCAGACTGCTGGGCGGCACGGCTCCGCGCCGCAGCGACCCGCTGCCGTGGTGACTCACCAGCTCGCCGCTGTGCGGAGACAGGCGCAAACAAGCTAAGCAGGGCGCAGAGGGAGGTCGGGAGGACCGACAGCACACCCAGACAGCATGCTAGGCGGCCCAAAACGGCGGGCCGAACACACAAAAACATACTACCGGGACAGACGGCGATATATTCAGTGCTCAACTAAGGAGTCAGAAAGCGATGATGACAAGAACGAAAATTAAAGGTGGCTTAACAAAAGTCTACCAGGCACAGCACACTTTCCACAAAGTGAACGAAAATTGATGCAAAATTGTGACAAAAGGGTAAACGAAACGAGGAAAAAGAACTCATTAACAGTCAATACGCGTCACGTATGAATATAAAAACATTCCCTCCAATCAAAAGACAAGCCCAGTACAAAATGGACCACACAATGCACATCAAACAATCGTCGGTTCAAACGAGCCAAAAAGGTCAACGGTGTTAACTTAGGCCCTCCTGGTGAATGATATTGTGTGGTGTGTAGTGTTACTTGTGTTAGTCCATGACCCTCACCTGTTTCACAACTCCACAGTCTACATGCGGTCCACAGTCACATGCGATCCACAGTTCACATGCATTCCACACAGTCCACATGCCCATTCACCATGCAAGCCGTGTCAGGCACGGTCGAGACAGAAGACAGAGGGAAGGAGGAGACACACGTCTGGACAGAGCAGCGGAGGCACATGCTCACATGCGGACAGCGGCGGGCACGGGCGGCCCGTGGGACCTCTCACCGTCACAAGCTGGGCACGCCAGCCGGGCTGTTAGTTCACACATCATCTCAGTACCGACAGTACCGTCACCGCCAGCAAACAGCCCGTACAAACGATAGACTTTATTATATGTATATATGGGTGTATACTCTGGCTCCCAAACTCGCACCCACTCTCACTCTCTCTCGCTCGCTGTCACTCCCAATGTTAGCCTGGTATGTACACATACACATACTGCCGTCAGCCGCCGGCGGGCCACGGCGCATGCGCCAAAACCACCGCGCCGGGGACCCGGCGCCGGCCGCCGCTCCGTTATTGAGTCATGCCCGGCCGCGGCGTCGCACATCAGACCGTTGTGTTATTCGTTGATGCTTACACTTCTTTGAATTTCTCCTTTTCCTGGTAGGCGATGGGCGACTGGATGGCCTTGAGGAAGTTCTGTTGCGTCTGCAGCATTGAGCGCAGCTCACGCACCCACTCGTTGCGCTCGTCTACGCTGGACATTTGGCAGACCCACGAGACGTTGGGTTTCTGCGGGTCGGTGCTGCTCAAACGGAACTTGCACGGGTCGCCGTCGTCCACGTTCTCGTTGAGCGACATTTTGTTCACCTGCCGGCGGGATGAGGTAGGGGCCCAGGGATTGTCAACGACGACGGGAGGGGACATGAACTTGCAGTAGTGGGGGCCTGAAAAACGACCGATTAACATTTGTATTGAAACTGACTCAATAAACTGTAAAAGCTTTTGAATGTCTGGTCCTGAGAAACCACCCTTAACATCTTTCAAGGTCATTATATGGCTGGTAGACTAAGCTACTATAGTCTGTTCCATATCAAGCATGCGGTCAGAGTTCCTTCGGTAGTTCGCTCCTCCTTTCAATAATTTGCGTCTTTGAATGCAAGAGCTGTATGTACAGAAATCACGCACTGCTTTCAACAGGACACTTAATCTGCCGCAAGCTTGACATGGAACAGACCCCTTCCCCAGCTCATCAATTACTGCAGGAGCTTGCCTAATCACCCTCCCAGCATATCCCATCCCAGTATTCCCTCCCAAATCACTTCCCACTTCGCACGACCCGCCTGCTGACTGACCTGTATGTGGCTTTTGTACACGTATCCGGGGTTCGTGAACGCCGAGCGACGGCCCAGCGGCACACTAAATATCACATTCTGCTCGAACAAAAACACGACGTGCTCCTTCCCGCGGAAGTTGGCCGCCGATACGCCCTCGCAGCAGAGCATGTTGCCGAACCGCTTCAGCTTGCCCTGCGCCGTGATCTTCCCCTGCGAATGAAGAAAATGAGTTAAAGGGACCCTCCCACCTTCAAAAAAGTTAATGAATTGGTACGAAAGTGATGTCGCTCGGTTCAGAAAGAGCGAAAACGAAGATCTACCAAATTTCATCGAAAAATATTCACCGGTTTTCAAGATATTAGACTTTTACTTTTGTTTACTTTTTGGGATCTCCGCTGTTCCTAGCGACTTTATTTGAAAGTGCGGCATTTGTTGCGCGCAAAGCAGCATATACCACCGCGTGCTACCAAACGTTTTAGTAAAAGATTTAAAAATCGTTAGATCTCCGCTGACGTCACAAATTCTAAGGGGGCATACCAATGCACTAGCCCCTTAGAATCCGAAAACTGCAAGTTTGAAATTCCATATCTCCGAATTAAAGCATTTGTCGATGTTGTGAGTGCCCAAACCGGTATTTGCAGGCCATGGCCACCAATTTGGCTATCTCAACTCAAAACTAATGTTAAGGTGGGAGTGTCCCTTTAAGTCAGGGATCAGAAGCCTCCACAACCCCTGCCAGTAACTGATGCTTCACGACAACGTGTGTGTTGTTTAGAGATTTCACAGCTGTTCATCAGCAGTGTGGCTAAATTCATTTTACGTTAGGGGAGGATGTGAAAAAAAGGCCGGAAAGGATGTCGTTATTTTCATAAAACTTGACTTTGACCCTTTCTTCATACAGGTATGTCACCGTTTTCATATACTTCACGAGAAAATGATGTAGAAATATTGAATAGGTACTGATAAAATTTTGAAGGCATTCTGCTGATATTCGGGAGAGATTTTTGAGTCGGGTCATACATTCAAATATTTTGGTTATTCGAATGGTTGTCTGTCTTGGCGTCTTTTGAGAGTTTGCGATGTTCGTGTTTCTCTTGCGCCTAAAAGTTTAAGTTCGAGGTTATATTATAAGTTGAGATTGCCGTGAGGAATCCTCACGGCACTCCTAAAAATAGAAATAAAGACATCCTCGCTGAGGATGTCTTTATTTCTATTTTTTGGATGTCATTATGCTTTTCATTATGGGTGGATTTCCCCGCAACATTTCAATTTTGAACACACTGTTCATCAGTATTCACTTTATATAAATCTACTCTTCTCACATAATGACTATGTTTTGTGATGCTAAAACACACATCATAACCATGACGGAACAATAAGTGACACTTGCCATCATGAGCACTATCATCAGAAATACTACATCATTTTTAACTAGCACGCAAGCTTTCCCACAAAGCTGACAAACTAGCTAAACACGAGCTACCTACACTCTCTGTGAATCTTTCCACCGCCTCTCCCACAACCGGGCTGACCCTCGTCCCACACCTCGGCCCAGCCCGGATGCCTTCCTTCCCACAGACAGCACGAGTACTCACGTCGAATCCCTGCAGTCTGCCGACGTTCATCATGTCGTCTGCCGCCTTCGGCACCACGATCATGACGTTGACGGCCTTCCGTAGTGCCTCCACCTCGTCAGTGAGACCCGCTACCTCTGTGTGCCTGTCAGAGGTCACCAACGGGTCAGCCGGGGGTCATCCGAGGTCGGTGGGGTCAGAGCGCAAAGTTCCAAGTCCGATGGGTGGGAAAGTCGGGAAGTCTGTGATGACGTGGGTCGGACTGCGAACCACTTTTCCAAACTATGAGATGCTGAGAAGAAAGTGAAACTGGAAACATGAATACGCCGCAAGCTAGAAAAATATTGACGAAGGCATGTTGAAGTTCGTTTCATAGAACTATCCAAAAGGAATTCGTTTAGATTATCATACCCAAAGTTGAATGCACTTTTTTAGAAAACAGCGACGTTAAATTGAAACACACGTCACACAACAAACAAATCGTGTGGCATCACATCTCGTATCTCACCTGAGAATCTGATTGAGAAGCAGCTGATACCGCATGATCCTCTGGATCGGCTGGATCAGCAGGTCCGTCAGCTGGTGCTTGTGATTCAACAGTTTCCGGAGCTCCTGCAACAGCAGCGACATCTGTCAGCCACTGCACCAACTGTTAGTACGGGCCGCCACCACAGCTCGCCTCTACCGCCCCTTCGCAGCCGCCACCGTCGCCGCTGTCGTCGGAGGCGCGTTTAACTGTTGGTCGGATCGATGGCCTCGATTACGGCGCCGCTCCAAGGGCCCGCTTACTCTTGACCCCTGCCGCAGACGGCGGTCGGCGCTCGGGCAGATCGATAACACTGAGCGGCCGCGCGAGCGCTGCTCATCGGCCGGTCGAGTGCAACTCATTACTGTCATGACGGGCGCAGACTGATGACGCCATTGGACAGACAGTGACGCACACGTCATGCGTCTTCAGCGGCCGGCGTCACGCTGACAGAGTACGTCATAACAGTGCGACGTACAGTAAAAAGAACAACGCTCGATCAAAACACTGACCGGGACGGCGCACACAAAGCCGACTGATTTGACGCGTCAAACGTGACAATAGAAGAAAAAAGTAGCGCTTATAGCACCTTTTCACGCACAAGTCCAAAATAATGCACCTGAAGGACTTCTCGTCGCAGCCCTCTTGCTGCCGAGACTGAAGCTATCACTTTTCCAAGGAGAGTCACATGAACGATCAATAGCAACTGTTGCCGCTGCGGCTTCGCACCAGACAGACGAGATGCCTATCAACTCCAAAACAATCGACAACACGAATAATTCCCTCCCATTATTGCAACTGCCCTCCTAAGCTGTCGCTACAAATCACTCTTCAATGACATTTCGCCCGAGCAGCACAGATTGGACGATGCCATGACCCAGACACACTGTCATGAAACCTTTTAACATCCATCATACCCTCACTTACCTCGAAATACATGTCGATATGCTCCGATACGATGTACTCAGACTTGGGTTTGTTCTCGCAGTAGACGACATACATGTGCAGCTTGCGTTCGTACCGTTTGAACAGAGGGCCTAGCTCGGCAGGGTTGTCTATACACCGCTCGAGCGCCTTCAGGAACGAACTGCCAAAACACCGAGCGGGTCACGTGTCATTGATGACGTTACAGTCGGGTGACGTCACAGTCTGCCGGGTGAGGTCAGTCGTAACACAAACACGGGCCTGGGACGCGGTTTAGCGCGGCAGCCGCATACCGCGCCGCGGGACATGTCAACGGATTTCCGAGAGGGCTGGTGAAGCGCGCCCTGGTTAGACGCTAGTCTAAACACAGAGAGTCACTCGTCTGAGTCAGTAGATCCAGCTGGACCCGTGGGAGTCTGATCAGCGATCACTAACCAGCCGTTCGCAGCTGGACATACAGGATTCCTGCTTCACTCCGCAAAAACACAGTGATTCATCTCGAGCACGGGTGTCGCCTTAAACAGCATGAGGGGAACCCTGTGCACCGCCCACCCTGGCGAATACACGATTCCTCAAATACTAAAACATAAACGATTTCGACGAACTCCTGTGAGGTATTTCAGCCTACAACGTCTATGGAAAAGGAAACTGGCTATCGTAGGAAAGCAAAATAACAATGTCCGTTTCCCCAGAGCTGCGCCACACGCCTGCATGCCCTACTCCGACCTGCGGCCGGGCCGGGATCGGTGGCATCCCTCGGGGACCATCAGCCACCAGTCCGTCTCTAACAGCCTGCACTCAGCACTCCAACTCAGCACTGCACGCTGGCGTCATCAGATGCCGACATTGACGTCATCAGTGAACGACAGACGCGGACCAGAATATATACGCGGGTCCAAAACGGCGGCATCCGACGCCCCGGCAGCGTCTCGAGTCACCTCAACACGAGTGTTCTGACGCAGGACAGGAAAACATGGAAGGAGTAGCATCAGACACACTATCACAGTTTAATCCAGGAAACAGGAAACACTATGTAGGAAACAGATTGTACACAAAATGCGCGATTCACCAGCAAAGAACATACATTTCCCTAAACTCAATGCGTCCAACTAATCCCGGAAATACAGCCAAATGGCGTGGACATCTGGATATCCCCGTCAGCTCTAACTCGGGAAAGCCGGTCTCTGCCCCGTCCCGAATGTCCTCCGGAATACTCACTCTCGATGCCACTCATAGATGGCCTCGATGTTGCCGAAGATGATTTTGTCTTTGCCCATGAGCCGGTCCTTATCAGAGCAGAGATCCTCCGGCAGGGGTACGGGACAGTTTTCATCGCGCATCAGCCGCAGGTAGCCGTCCACGATCTGTCGAACGGAGAGAACAGATGGTCAGTCATGAGAGGAGGAGATAGGGTGCTTGGCACCGGATAGGATGGCTCTAGCGCGACAGCCAAGGCGGATAGGGGTAAGGTAAATGGCATCAGATTATCCAGACGAAAAAGAAAATTGTGATCTTCTAGATCTCCCGTCCTGAGCCACTCGGTAGCGTAAGCTCGCCTACCGCAACACGTTCACATAGATCATGTAAAAAAAAAAACTAACTTTAAAGACACAGATAACGCACGCAGGTGCATGAACGACATCAAACACTAGCCGAAAACATGCAAGTAAACACCGCTACCACTCTGTCACGACAGCTGCGCCACCACAGACCGCCGGGCGCCGGGCCACACACCTGCTATTGGGCCACCCATCGCCCAAGCGACCGCCGATTCGGCACCCAATCGCCTAACACAGTGTCGTACTGACTTAAAAGTCACCGTCCAGCACAAGAAGAAGATCTATTCTGCTCTCCTCTACACCTTCCAGCCAACTAAACTCACAATCCCCCTCCTGGCACATCCACAGCTCGCAGACACACATCTCACATCATCACCAACCAATCGCGCTGTCATACGTCATATATCTCACATCATAACCAGCCAATCATGCTCCCATACGTCATGCCCGGCCCAGCTACTTGCAGGGTGTAACTCGGCCCTGCCGGCATCAGATGCCGGCGGCTATGACCAATGCTGGGTCACCGGTTCACAGCTCGACGCTGAAGCTGACTCACACTTATACGGCTCACATTCATCCTTGCGTCACGCTACATCACCCCCTGGTTCTGAAGAACCACATTACTCTACATGTTACATGTCATTCAATCAACGCATCAACTACATCCTCTGGCACACCATCGCCATATCTTTCCGGCTCTCTTCGAACACGCGTACCACGCCGCAGCGTCGCAGGCACGAACGTTTCACTCTCGTCTGCGGACACATCGGACCCGGTCGGTGGATCGGGGTCCGGGGACTGAGCGACGCTGGGCGGCCGCGTGTCCGACTCCGTCACATCACTCGGAGCTGGCGACACACACACGCCATCACACTCGCTGTCATCAGACCACTCCACCGTTGGCGCTCGCAGAGCCCCTGGCCTCGGACATTCAGGGACGGTCAACCGATGTCGGAGGTTTCGCACATGTCGTGGGACATTATCGACTTCGATTGTCTGGGCCGAAACGACGCCTGTCACAATACCCTCGTCTGACTTTACAAAACATCGGTCGCCCCGCCGCCGAACCCACACCTTGTCCCCTACCTGGTATACACCGGGTTTCTTCAGCGGCAGGGCGTCACCAGGCTCGTCTGAGGTTCTGCGGGGCGTCACGTCAACGTCTCGGCCAGGGTGTCGAAGCACCCCGTTGATTGGAGCTGTGGCCGGGTCACTGCCATCCTTCGGTGTCACGTTGTATCGATGGACTGCTTCAGCAACGGAGCAGGACTGCCGGGCCACCATCACTTTGATGGTACGATGATGGCGCTCGACGATGCCGTTCCCGCCGGGCTCGTAGGCAGCGCGGAACCGGATGGATACGTCCCAGCGAGCCGCGAACGCTAACATGACCCGGCCACGGAACTCTGTCGCATTGTCCGTGAGTATTTCCGCCGGGGCTCCACGCTCTAGAAACACGTTCTCCAGCTCACTCACAATCTCCAGAGCTCCTGCCCGGCGAAGCCGTCGCCATATGGCGTACCTCGACGGCCCGCAGTCCACCAGCGTCAGGTATGGGTGGCCGTGCACGTGGGTGACATCCATGGCCAGGCGATCCCACGTGCGTTCTGTTCCGAGTGACCCACCGGGCCAGCGCTCCGGCGCCGGGTCAATCGAGGCACACGTCTGGCATCGTCTGACCACGTCTCGCACAGCTGGTTTTGACACCCGCCTCACCCCCAGCTCACGTCGGGCGTACCACAACGTTCTCCTAACTCCTTGGTGACCGATGTTTTCGTGGATGGTGCGGATGTCACTCGCTGAGGCACTTGTGATGGCAGCGACAGCCACCGGTTGTGCTTTGGACGAATCAGTGGTTGGCTGGTCGGCAGTCTGCAGCCAGGCGTTGGGCACCCGCGTCACCTCATCAGCACGGTTGACCGCTGACGCGACCAGCTCGATAGTGACCTCCAGTTCGTACTCGATGACGAGCTGACGGAAAACAGCCACGCGCCGTCGGATAAGCATTTCGGACTGCGCCTTGGTTCGCAGCCTTGCCTTACCCGACAGCGCGTCACTCAGCCAGCGGTGCACCGTCACCGAGTCTGTCCGGAGCGTCAGGCGACGGAAGCCCCATGCTACCGCCAGGTTGACACCGTTGAGAGCGGCATCCAGTTCTGAGATATTGATGTGCACGTCCCTCTCCGATTCGGCACGCAGCCAGGACGCGTCCTCGATGATGGCGCCCGTGTCAGGGTCAGTGAGCACGACACCGCGGGCGATGGAGCTGGCGTCGGTCCACACCACGACGCTCGTCCCTGTCACACACCACTGGCCGCGTGCCGGGTCACATGCTCGAAACCGCCGTGACACCTCATCCACCTCACGTTGTAGTTCCTCGCTGACGATCGGAGTGTCCCAGTCCGGGCTGAGGCGGTTGGCAGTCCGCTTCATCCATGCAGCGGCCGGCCGCAGCCAGCCTGCGACCGGCACATGAGATGTCAGCTGGCCGGCCCACGCGAAGACAGATCGCCGCGTTAGCACGGGTGGAGCCTGCGTTGGTGACTCCCCGTCCCTACTCCACTGGAGTGCCGGCCCGTCGCTCTCGGCGACACGAAGGCCCAGCATACGTGCACCGGTCGCGACCCGCTCCGGCGGCTTGCATGTGAGCCCGAATCGAGCGAAGTGCTCGGCAACCTCATCAGCCGAGACCACCGCTTCGTTGACCAGCAGATCATCGGCGTAAGGCAGCACTGCCTCTGCCAACCCGGGGCTCTGTGCGAGCACCTTCCTGACCACAGCCTTCATGATCAGAGGCGCGATACTGAGCCCAAAGCCGACCCTGGTCAGGCAGTACCGCCGCCCTTGCACGATGACTGTCTGGTACGGCCACAGGGCCGGGTCCACACGAAGCTGAAGAAAAGCTTTCTTCAGATCCAGGACAGCGACCCGGCGTCCGTGACGTCGCCACCTTCGCAGCTCTTCCACGCAGACGTCAGCGTCGGCTGTGTGACGTGTCAGGTGTTGATTGAGTTCCCGATAATCTAACACCGGCCGCACCTTGTCCTTCGCTGCCTGAGTAACCGCCATCAACGGGATCAATCCCTGTGCGGGACCGTACATCGTCTCATCGTATTCGCGCAGCCAGCCCTCACTAATCCACAGCGCCAGCTCTGCATCGAATTTTTCACGCGCACAACTCGGCACACCGTACTGAGCTATCGAGTTTCCAAGCGGGGGCGGAGCCACGCCACCGGCCCATTTCCAACGGACTGTCCACACATCATCGAACACAGCCGTGAAGTCAGTCTCGTCAATCCTTAGCTTTAGCTCCGGCTCCGTGTCGACCGCTCGACACACCTCCCGCTCCGGCGGGACCTCACGCTGCACCACAGCAGCCGTGTCGACCGCACGACACACCTCCCGCTCCGGCGGGGCCTCACGCTGCACCACAGTAGCCGTGTCGACCGCTCGACACACCTCCCGCTCCGGCGGGACCTCACGCTGCACCACAGCAGCCGTGTCAACCGCTCGACACACCTCCCGCTCCGGCGGGGCCTCACGCTGCACCACAGCAGCCGTGTCGACCGCTCGACACACCTCCCGCTCCGGCGGGGCCTCACGCTGCACCACAGCAGCCGTGTCGACGCTCGCAACTGGGTTGTCGCTCCCGAAGCGAACGGATCCTCCACTTACACTCACGCCCTGCAGGGCGTCAATGCCGGTCATGCCCAGCAACACGTCTACGCCGAGCAACATAGGCGCGGGAGCCGGGGGGGCAGTGGGGGCAGCTTGCCCCCCCAACTCTGGGGCCGTAGGGGCGGTGCCCCCACAGCTTTGAGACGGAATACCACACTTTTTTTGCCAATGATTTCTTTTTTTGTTCAAAAAGCCGAGGGGTGACAAATAAGTAGCCTAAAACCGGTGAGAAAACTAGATTTGGGGGTACCCTAGGTTGATCTCTATTATGGTGTGCCCCCCCAGTCAGAAAGTAGTTCCCGCGCCCCTGCCGAGCAACCGGGCCGGTACGACGACCGCCCGCACACTCACTGTCGCCCCGCGCACTCCAAGGCTGACCACAGCCCGCCCACAGCACAGCACCGGGCTGTCGTTGACAGCGACCAAGCTGGCGTCACTCCGCTCCCAGCAGGACACCATGCCCTTCCACACCACTGTCTCGCTGCACCCTGTGTCGACGAGTGCTCGGCACTTGCGCCCATTTACATTGATGTCGATGATGGGGGCTCTTGGGTCACTGCGGCAGCTGGCGACGGCGGAGCCCGTGGCGCTGATGTAGCGCCGTCGCCGTGCCCGTTTGGGCAGAGCCGGGCGATGTGGCCTACCTGGTTACAGGTCCAACACCGCAGTGGTGGACGGCGACCCGTCCCTCTGGCTCCCCGCTGCTGCTGTACATATGATGACGGCGGCTGGACGACAGCCACCGATGCAGTCGCTCTCTCCCTGGCCGCCATCGCCAACGTTGACCTAGCGACGGCGACGGCTCGCTCCAAGGAGAGAGTTTCATCTCCAGCACTGTTACGTACTGTTAGCCGCACCTCCGGCGGCAGACCTTGCAGGAAGTGCGTCGTCATCACTTCGTTGGACACTGAACCTATGAGGGATATCAGCCGCTTGACTGATCCCAGGTAGGCATCCACAGACTCGCCCGGTTGTAGACGTCGGTGATACAGCTCATACATAGCCGCGTCGGGTCCCAATGCAAATGCACGATGCAGTTTTTGGCGGACGATTGCAGCATCCCGCTGCTCGGTGGAGGAGAGGGTGGCCCACACCTCGTACGCCTGGTCCCTCAGGCGTGTGGGTATGACAGCGGCCAGTGACACACGACGCAGGGCACACAGCTGTGTCGCCTGCTCCAGCCATCTGACGACGTCACCGCTGCCGTCGAACTCCGGTATTGCCCGCAGATCGAATGCAGGCGCAGGAAACTCTGGTTCCATGGTATTGGTACCAGCTACCGGTGCACCACTGCCCTCTTCTACGTCAGACATAATCACAACACTTAGTCGAGAAGGCCGAAATAGCTTGTCGTACTGACTTAAAAGTCACCGTCCAGCACAAGAAGAAGATCTATTCTGCTCTCCTCTACACCTTCCAGCCAACTAAACTCACAATCCCCCTCCTGGCACATCCACAGCTCGCAGACACACATCTCACATCATCACCAACCAATCGCGCTGTCATACGTCATATATCTCACATCATAACCAGCCAATCATGCTCCCATACGTCATGCCCGGCCCAGCTACTTGCAGGGTGTAACTCGGCCCTGCCGGCATCAGATGCCGGCGGCTATGACCAATGCTGGGTCACCGGTTCACAGCTCGACGCTGAAGCTGACTCACACTTATACGGCTCACATTCATCCTTGCGTCACGCTACACACAGGCTCCCTGGGGTCGTAATAGTCGCCCACGCGTTCCCGCAGCCCGGCGGCTTCGTAAGCTCCGGAAACACCTCAGTCGCGGCGGCCAAACAGTGGTGGAACCGCGGCGGAGCGGTCACACATACCCGCGTGGGTGAGCTTTGACTGGCTCTGAGTCACCCAGGGGCCGGGCGGGGGCGGCCTGTGACATGGAGTATAATGGCCCCGTCAGCAGCGTGGCGCCGTGACCGCCCCCTCCCCACCCGTCGGACCACCACCGGCGCCCCTGCAGTCCGACTCCCGCCCACAGTCCCACCAAACAGAGCGCGTCTGGGACGCGGCGCGATCACAGCAGACGTGTCGCCGCCCGGCGCAGCGCGGCACTTTTGGCGAGCGGGTGACACCGCGTGGGAGCCCGTGCCGGTCGCGGTCGTCTCTTTTCCGAGCCTCGCCTGTCAACACGTCCGGCACGCTCTGCCAACACGAAATCTGACAGCATGTGTCGGCATCGGGACGCGTCCCGGAGGCGCAAAACACGGCCCAAAGCGGTGCCGCGCCGCCGGCGGTCGCTGTCTGAGACGCTTTTTGCGCCGGCGCCGCCTCTTCGACCGGCTGGGCCGATTGGAAACAGGCGGCGGACGCGGCGAGGAATGGCGCAGTCGCTGCTGCATAACTCTGCAGCCGACGACAAGGCGTTTCCGTACCGTGTGCAGGACCCTCACTATGGGAAGATAGCTACTGGCGCTAATAGGCACTTTGACGACCCATTCTTTACCTTGTATTCAGGGTGGGAATACCGGCATACACCAGCCACCTGATGGAAACTGCTTGTTCCTTTGTAGCACATTACAACCTTCCGAGCTGGGGTTCCTACCGTATCGAGGGCATCCCTTCACTGGAAGAGTTCGCCTTTCTCCATGACAGTCTTTCACGGGTGAGGTAACTTATTCAGGAGACCAAAAGCCACCGGACAACTCCCTTCAACACCCTTCCGGTGTCATTGAGTCTCTGAATTAGAGCGGAACATCTGGAAGGTTCTAGAGAGCCGGTGTCGGCCCGAAGTGACAGCAGCCGAGCCTATGGTGTCGTACCTCCCGTCAGATGTCCCAACCACGCGCAGAGCGGCCTCTCTCTCTCGCACAAAGCTGACATCTCGGCCGTCACATGTGTGACATCTAACACGCACATCGGCTCCTCCCCGCCGCCCGCCCACCCCGCAGCGCCACAGGAGAGTAACAGCGGCGTGTCGACGCCTTGGCCGGCCTCCAAGGGCCCGCGGCACCGTCCCGAATCGGAGCCCTGAGACTACGGCCACGCCCCACAACCACCCAGCGCCTCCAGTAGCTTGACAGTTTCCGCAAATGCCTTTTGGATGCATCAAATGTCAACAGATTGCTGCAAACAATCCTCTTTAAGAACAGCATGCGGATACTGCTATGGCTTCCCTTCCAATGCGGCGCTACCGTAGCACCGACCGTGGCACCTGCCTCGCTTACAACGGCATCTGGCTTCCTTTCCACGCTCCTGGCTCCTCTACCACAATCCTGGCTCACCTAACACACTTTTGGCTCGCCCACTGCGTCTTTTGGATCGCCTACCGCGGCTTCTGACTCGCCCACCGGACTCCTGGCTCGCTCTCATCGGAGCGTCATTAACACCGGTCCGTGTGGTAGGCAAACAGCGGCGTGCCGGGCGCGCTATAAACAGGCGATAAAGGCTTCCGTCCGACCTCCGAGCACCGACCGGCGGCCGGGGAGGGTTTCCGAGACCCGGGCCACGGACACACGACCCAGCAGCGATACCGGTCGACAGCTGGTACTGTGGGGTATCGCATCTGTTATCGGTACAGTGGAATCCGATCGCACGTGCGATAACACTGATTCGATAAATCATGAACTGAAAAATCCTGAGAACTGCAGTACGTCATAAAAATCAGCAGAATATCTCAGTAGCGGGAATAGCGTGGATGTTGACATGCTTGCATGCCATGTCGACGTTACGAAGTCCCATGATGACAACTGGTTCCAGCCCACAGCCTTGTCTAGTCACCGGCCATTCTGAGAACTGCCGAGAGGCAGGCACGCGCCATAAAAATCCTACTGCACACACACTAATCCGTCAGTGGGATTCGGGCAATCAGCCGGCTTAGTGGACTCGGCGAACATCTAATTGGCCACCAGCAGACAATCAGCAGCTCGGGAAACTCAGACTACGCCGACAGGGATCAGCGGCAGGCAGGAATTCCAGTCGCTGTCCGGCCGCCCGGAGAAAATCTGTCATAACTAACTGCTTCGACAATTGGCATTAATTCCCTCCTATTTCATCCGAGAAATGATAAAGAAGCCGTCTCAGACATCGCAACTGAAAGAAGGCTCAATGTTCGCTAAACCTATTATCTTCACATTTAAGGCCATGATGCTCCTTAAGATGGCTATCAGCTCTTGACAGCAAAAGGTCACAGTCAGAATGCCGTGCTAAAATCTGCCCTCATGCCCCGACGCCAAGGGATCAGTCAGGAATGTATTGTTTCATTTGCTGTTCTCAAGACTAAGGAAACTTTTGACGGCCCTATGCTGTCTATTGCCGTCAGTTGCTGTCTTCGCTCACTACGAAGCTACTATGTGAAAAACGTCTTCCTCCAACGTTTTCCACATCCCACTTATACACGCGTGCTAATTACGCACGTTTTGCACATTCTGTCGTTCAATCCCATCAAGCCACACCCTCTCGCAAGTCCCAGCACCCTTTAATTCACCACCATTCTCACCTGGCCCAGCGAGCGGATGTATTCCCGCTCCGTATCGACCAGCTCCTGGATGACGAAACTCCTCTTTTTGAGCGCCTTCTGCTGCCGCGAGTTTTCCTCGTCCTCGTCCTCTGAGGAGCCGCCCTGCGCGCCGTCCGGCGCCGGGTCGGGCGGCTCGGCCCGCCCCGGAGGACCGTCACCCTCCGTGTGACCCTCCTAGGGAGAGAGGCGTTAGATACTCGTCAGATACACGTCAGATACAGGTCAGATACTCGCCGGATACACAGGATAACTGAGGTAAGCGGGTGCATCATTACACACAACCTTACATAGAACACACGTGAGGCAAGCTGGCGTTTTGTACAAACAAGCTAACGGTAGGGCATATGGTCGCTGAGGTAAGTACTAAAAATATCATACTTAGACACATGTCAGATGAGTTGCCTACGCAACGGCTTATAAACCGTTACACGTGTCTGGAATTACATCGCTGTGAGACATTCAAGTGCACATTGAACATGATGTCATACAAGGAAAAGCGGGCAGCTACACTAGTACTATCGTAAACAAGCGGGCCAACATGCAAACACTCGCAATCAGCATCATCTAAACATCACACCGTGCTTTTTACTAACGAGCCACCAGAAATTCCAATCATAACAAAACAAGGACAGATACACCGCCGCCACGGCAATGACACACTGCTGACACTGACACACTACATAGTCATACGAATATGACAATACAGACTCACAGCTGTCAGCACACATCACATAAACCACGCATAAAACCCGTAAGACCACATCAAAGTCTCGAACCAGGGCAACCGCGAAGGGTCCTCAAACACACTGATGCTCCAGACGGATACGCAATCAGAGCATCGGAGACAACTTAAGACACGGAGACAGAGCCGGAGACACTGACGGAAACGGGGCGAAGACACCCAAACGGGCCAGTTAGTCAGTCGTTCGCCGGCTACCTTGACACACATCGGCCGCGGACAGACCAAACACCGGCACACACACAGACCCAGAGTCGTGTAAATCACGGGATTGGCGAGTCACACAAACCGCCCCACGCTCCCCGTACACACTAAGTGACGACGCTCTCCATGCGGTGGCAAGCTCTCAACTGGACAGTGGACACCTCAGCCGAACAAGCCCGGCGGTAACGATAGGCAAAACGGATTGTCGAGCAGTGAGCCCACTTCATCCATCCCCGAGAGGGACGAGTGCGTTGATATTTAGTGTTTAACCTCGCACCGCCCGACTTCCATTGCCATGCCTAACCCCTCTTATCTACCAAAAAGAAGGAGTGTATATCGGCATCCGGCATCCGGTGGAGTTTCACAACACGTTTGGCCAACACCGTCGACAGAGCGATAGCAAACCGTCCGTACCGCACTGCGCCGTCAAACGAACGCCAGAAGGCGTCGTCAGTCGCCACAGCAGCACCAGGGCCCGTTCATACTCAGTCGCAGTCCACGGGTGTGTCCCGCTGTGTCCAGTAGCCAGCAACAAGCACTCGATGACGGCACGGGTCGTCTCCTCAGGTCGTTACACAGCCGTCCACCGGGCTCAGCCGCCGGCCCTGGCCGCTGAAGTCACCGCCAGTGACATCATCCGGCACTGACCCGCCGGATACAGCCTCCTCTGCCCACACTCCTCTCCTCTTTCCATGACTGGGAGCTGCAGTGATTGTTTATCTACATACGAGGCATCCGGTGAGTTTTGCAATAAACTTAGCCAACCATCCGATCACTCCAGTCACTTGGGGTTTGGTTTCTCATTCAAAGCGTCACCCTTTAGAAGCTACAGCCGTTATCTCTTCCCCTATTTTCAGCCAAAGTGAGCAAACCCCATCCTAGAACTGAGGTCACCCCTAGGTCACGTGCGGTGTCTCCAGGCAGGCGCACGTCCGTGGTCCACGGCCTCTCCATCAGGGCCAGGCGGCAGCGCGGCCCGACCCGGCTGACAGCGCCGTTGCCGTCAGCACCAAAGGAGTCGCGATCGATACAGACCCCGAGCCCGGCGAGCGAGGAACGGCGAGCGTCTGCAGTCGCTCGCCGACGAGGGCCGTACGTCGGCCCGACCATACCGTGGGCGGCCAACGACCATCACAGGCCGACCCCATTGAAATGGACGGCCCGCTGGGCGAAATAAAAGATTGGAGATCGAAATGCGCGGCAGATTGAATACGTACGAGGTTGAGACAGAAGTCTAATTTAGCGGACGGTTTGGAATAGCAAAATGGCATGCAACGGCTCCGGATTTTCCTCAGTCATCGAAATTCGTCTGAAATTTGTTTACTTAACCGAATATTTCGATGGTGACCCAGACGCCTCATGGGGACCACCTTCGAGGCGCATATCTCCAGATCCGTTATTTTGCAGCTGATTTTCTCCAGAGGTGGTCCAGGAGCTCTGAAGTCATCGCACAGCCCTTCTCACTATGTTGACCTCAGTGCCCTAGCGGATATCCAGTATCCACCCCTGGGAGTTGAACCTCCATTGCAGCCAACTAAATATCCCAGTAAGCTAGTATGCCAGTAAAAACCCTCTCACATTTCTTTCTATGTTCTTCCCAGCGATTACTGAGGTGTCCGGGGAGCCACCCCAGTGAACTGGACACCCTCCAACAGTTCCCCCCCCCCCAGCCTCCGGCCCCCGTCCAACACGTCAACTCGCGCCTCTCGGACCTCGATAAAGCAGTCGTCCGAGAATGAAGGCGGTCCGACGCCAACTCTGCCGCCGCCGACACTTTATTATAATTACATTCTGTCGAGGGATTAGCAGCTCTCGCGCTAAGTGAAGGCACATGAAGAAAGACCGACGAACTTGGCCATGGGCCAGTCGGGTCGGGTGGCATGAGGGCGATGGTGTCAAACCGTGACAGTCGAGATAGGGGCCGAATACCGGGAAAATGAGCGAGGAATCGAACATCGGATCTGTCGATTCTACATAACGACTACGCAAGCATTTATGAAATTTTAGTCAAAATTAACAGCATCGAACGTTACGCTTCGGTAAGCAGTAACAGCCCAATAACTTCGCAGGAGGCAGGGGACATCGCGATCGGCATGTATCCCGACTGTTACATGCAGCGACACCCTTCATACTCGTGACGTGCCGGACACGACTAGCATCACTGTCCTGACCACGCCCAGTCCAACGCCAGACCACGCCCCGTGCACCGCCAGACCACGCCCGCTCCGGCCGGACAGCGACATGAACAAATGACACCACTCACCTCCGAGACATACAAGGTAACGAACGGGGCCGCAGAGGCTCCGGCGCACCGGTCTGCATTCGAATTTGTCCGCCGAGATGCAAATCACGTCCTCATTAAAACCGCCGGCCTTAACTGACACACAGGGGTTCGCCTTGCACGCCTGTGAGCCGCTGTCAGCGTGTAAATTCTCCATTTCACGCCGTTGCACCACCGCGTGTTTACTGATTGGTCCACAGTGCGGCGACCTCAGGCCCACTGTGCGGCGGCCTCTGGCCCAGTGTGCGGTCTCTGCGCAGCGTTGACGTCAGCGGCCTGTCGTCGCCACGGTTTGTGCGCTCTCCGACGACAGGACGGCACTGTCCGTCCCACCGCGCCTCTACATACACACAGACCGAGGATGGAGGATGGGGTAGGTGTCCGTGCACACTGACGACGCTCGGCCGGCCTTTGAGAGGCCACGGCTGCCATTACGGTACTCGAACATCATCTTCACAATGAACATGCACCCCAGATAAATATGTACATCTGTTTGCGTACCTGTAGATACTTAAATAGACACCTTCATAATATAGGAATAGAAAAAAAAAAACACAAGCGCAGAATTCGCGCCTGGACACTCACACAGACGTCACAACTCAGACACCATAGAGCACCTCACATCATCCAGACAACGGCCATACAAATATACAGACAGTGGACTGTCATATCTCGAACCACAACAGAAGCTGGAGAGTTCGAGACACGACACCGATCCACGGAGAGCTCGTTGATTACAATGCACGGCCCGTGCGGCAGAGCCACCCGCCGCCGTCCTCCCCGGCCCTCCGCGCCGCCGGCGCTGCGTGTAATCCGGCGTGACTTGCAGTCGCCTGCCGACCTTCGGCACACAATACGATGTGCCGAGGAAAGTGAGCGAGCCAGCGCCGCGCGGACGGCGCAGAGGTCCCCGGGTCGGGTCGACACAGCGCCGGCGCCGAGACCGGTCAAAGTGGCCGGTATTTATTTTCGTTTCTAAGGCAGAGTGGCAGAGAGGTTTCGTTTCTGAACGCAGGGCGCCGCGCCGCCCTGGCAACCAGAGAGTGATTTATTATCACAGCTAAGACCTGCGTGTAGCTTTGAGCGCCAGCTCGCTTTAACCAGCTCTGACTGAAGCCACAGGCGCACCATCTCGCCTCCACAAAACCGCAGCCGACCTCACGCTCTCGAGCCGCACAAAGCAGCAGAACGAGACCGACCCCGTGACACACATCCTCATAGACACGTACGTACGTGCACGTAAACACGCGCGAGCTGTGTTATTCGGGGCTCAAACACTGCGTCACACCATGCAAAGCTCACTCATCCAACACTACAGCATTAAACACAGGTGAGAGGCACACGCAGAGCGAGCGACACACTGCTAACAACCATGCAGTGGCCGTCAGAAAAATGACCACCAGCTGAAAAAGGGCACGTCTGTCGGAGCGGGCGAGCAGTTGACCGCGGGGAGTGCAGTCTGGAGCCGGCGTGTCGCGGGATTCCGGACATTTCCGGGGCTCAGCCATGCAGCTGTGTGGGATCTATCATGCCGCGGCTCTCACTACAGCACACTGACAGTGAGGGGGGAGGGGGCACACGGGGAGGGGGTGGTTACCAGGCGCTGTTTGACCAGCTGCTCCAGCTCTGTGGCGGCGTGCTCGGCAGAGCTGCCGGCGGCCAGCTCCGGCTGAAAACCCGCCACGTCATACAGGTTAACGTCAAAAACCGACCACACAACGGTGAGCCCGGTACCCAGGGGTCCAGCGGTCAGCCTCCCACCAGAACTGCACAGCCAGCCAGTCAGCTAGTCCAGTCGGTGGTCAAGCCGCTGCCCGGATTGTCGAAGTCTAGCATTATAACAGACAGCATAACTCCCACACAGCTAGACAGGAGCCACAGCACGACCGTAAAACGCAACCCTACCGCCCCAATCGCCTCGCAGATCCGGCAAAGCCCGTCCCTCAACCCAGCGGCATACCACTACATCCTTCCCTTTATCACCACCTCGCCTCGACTCACCCCGTGTGCGGCGCCGTCTGTGACGGTGGCAGCCGGTCCGGCCACGGCCGCCGGGTCCTCCAGCACGCGCATCGGCGGCGGCAGCTCGGGCTCGTCCTGGTCGTCAGCAGCGGCGGCGGCGGCGGCGGCTCCCGGCTCGTCTGAGCTGGTGGCGCTGCCGCCCGACACCCGGTTACCCATCGAGCCGTCCACTCCCGCCTGAGGGCACAAAAATGGGGGGACGGTCAGTCACATACACAAATACAGGTGTGCCAGTCAGAAGGGGGTTTCTCCCGCCAGTCAGCACAAAAATGGAGGAACGGGTCAGTCACATACACCAATACAAGTGTGCCAGAGTTGGTCGGGGGTTCGGGCGTCACCGGCCAACGCAAGTCAGGGGGCAGGGTTAGACCAGACACGGGATTTAACACAACGACAATGATCATAGTTAAATGGATAAAACCCGTAAATTGAACTGCAATCGCAATGAGAGCCTAAAAGGTATCAGCTTTCGAAAAAGATACAGTCACAACTGTTTACCATACAATTGACCTAACAGTGAAAAACCCGCCGGAGTCAGGCGCGCCCGATGCCTCCGTGATTGCATCTCCTCCTCCAAACCGGTCGCGGCTGGCGGACACGACCCTGCAGGTGCATCTCGCCGCCCTATACATCTGCATACACATCATCGCGCTCCATCATACATGTGTAATGGTATGCATGTTTGAGCGGCCGGGGCCGTGCGGCGGCGGTCAGGCGGTGAGGCTGTGACCTCAAGGGACGGGAGAGGACCGTGGAGCCCCTGCCGGCCCAGTGGACACAGACACTAATCAGACTGACACGGCGCGGGATGGACGACGATGACCGACCGTTCGGGGAGGAGGAGGTTCGGGAAGACGCTGTGCCGCAGCCCCTGAGGACAGTGGACGCTTCGCGGAACTCAGAGGGCCCCTCGTGGCATTCTCCACCAGGCCCTTGATAGGACAAGATCGATCGATCTGATATACCTATAGATCAGGGAAGTCAAACAGCCCGCCGTACAAACATCGCCAACAGGACATGCCAATCCCTGCCCGTAACCTTGGAGTTACCTCTCAACCTGTCACCTCTCAACATCTATCGATTGTCTCTTTGCTTTTCTCATTTTCCCATAAAATTACTTCTAACATCAGCTCACCAAAACCACCGCTGACAAACCCAAACAAAGCTACGACCGATCACGCTCCAGCCCGTATTGCACCGCCCGTTCGCTGCTCCGACCGGCCGTGTTACCGTCCCACGCCGAGCGCCCTGCAGCAGCCAGCCAGCGATCAACAGACGAGCGGCGGGCGAGGCATCGACCCAGCGGCGGCCGGCTGGCCGCGCTGCACTCAGCGACCAAACAGACGGCGCTCAACAGCGGCGCCGGCACGCGACGGTACGGCGGGCTCACAGCCGGGGTGGCGAGTTTAGATTGAATTCAGAGTTATGGCCAAACAGTAAACACGTCTGCGATATTGCAAAGGACGAAAATAAGGAGCAAATGATTTGACACGCCACTGAGACACGCAGCGTATCCACTATCCATAGCGAGACAATATCTGCAGCGCCCATCTTACAGCAACGAAATTGAGAAAACCGCGTGAACTTGTACTTTTTCAGCATGAATCGACTTCTTCCTCCATCAGATATCACCTTCTCAACTGATCCTGCATTTCCTACCCAGCTTCTTCTGACTTCACACTCGAATACCAAACACCCCACAAAAGCAACAACGGTGAAGGAGCTGAGAGGAGGCGTCTGTTTGTTCGCCACCTGTTGCCGGCTCGTGGTGACGGTTGCACCGCGGCTCGCTAGTTTGACCGTTCCCAGCCGAGCAGAGGTGTTTGTGCGAGCCTGACGCAGTATCCGTGTTGTGGTGACCGCAGTAACAGAGACCAGGCTGGCAGCCTGCAGCGGGGTTCCATCACTGGACGCTGTCACCGGGCTGCAGAGGGGCAGAGGCGGACGCAGCGGAGGCTGCAGGGATGGGAGCAGGGCAGAGTTCGTTGGTAGGCACAGATTAGAGTATCTACAGGAGGGAGATCAGAGCCTCACAGTGAAATCAGAGTCAGCAAAGAAGGGAAGTGCGAAAGGCAACTGTAACGCCTCCTCAAACCCACATCAAACTTCAAGGGTCCTGACTGACGGAAAACAGCAAATCTTCGCATATTCGGGAGGGAAGGCTGATCGACTGACTGATCGTTTTGCGTAGGTATGACGAACACACGCAAATTACGTAACCACACCGCAAAATGCAGCTCAAAAGCACATTGAGAGGCCATCACAATGATTAAACATATATCGAAATCCTAGGGTGCGTTCGGAGAGCGCGGAATATTCCCCGTCATCGTGAAAATTCCCCGTGTTGCGTTCGGAGAGGGACATTCCATACCGCCAATTTCAAGGATCGGCGCTACTGCGCCAAGTTGAGTTCGTGGGATTTTGTTTGGGTTACTTGGGTTGGCCCAGTGCAAGTAGTTGGATGGTGTGTGACAGCGTTGATTGATATTGATTTTCTACACCTACAACTAAGAAAAATCACAATTATTTTCAAAAAGTCCCATCTGTACTGTGCCCCCCAACCCCCCCCCCCCCACCCCAAACACACACAACACAACACTTCAAATTATCGTTTTCATTGCTTCAGAGGACAATCGCACAACTGAGGAAGCATTATCAATTGTTGGATTTGCAATAAAACTGATCAGGGTGGAAACAAACGCAAGAAATATCCATTTATATTCAATAATATACTCACTCGAGCATATTGATGGGCGCCGCCATCTTGACGGGAACGACGCGTGAGATGCTTTTTAGATTCCGCGCTTTCCGCGTCCGTTCCGCGGAACTTTCCCCCGGGAATCGCTCTCCGAACGGCACATTCGGCGGAAATTTCATGCCGGCGTGGAATATTCCCCGGGAATCTGCCTCTCCGAACGCACCCCTAGTCTTAGCCGACGTGACCACAGTCCAGCCGCAACAGCCAGGTCCGCAGCGAACGCCGCGGGTCGCTGGTCGCCCATCTCGGCAGAGGACGGGAGGAACGGCCGGCAGAGTGCCGGAGCGCCGCAAAAGGCCGTCTCTGGCTGGCAAGGTCGCTCGGCGTCTTCACACATTTACATATCAATTGGTGGCACGGCCGGCGCGATGCAGCGAGCAGGCAGGGACCGTCCGGGAATGGCAGAGACGGCGCACGCTCGCCAGTCGAGACCGTAAGTGGAGAGAACGGCGGACAGAGAAGGAGGAGGGAGAGGGGAAAGATGGAGAGGGGCTGAACGAGAAATGAAGAAAGGTGGAGATGAGAGCCGCTTACAAAAAAGGGGCGAGAGAGACAGACAGGAGGACACAAAATAGAAAAGGAGAGAGAGAGAGAGAGAGAGAGAGAGAGAGAGAGAGAGAGAGAGAGAGAGAGAGAGAGAGAGAGAGAGAGAGAGAGAGAGAGAGAGAGAGAGAGAGAGAGAGAGAGAGAGAGAGAGAGAGAGAGAGAGAGGAGAGAGGAGATAGGGAGAGAGGGACAGAGTGACAGAGCGAGAGCGCGTCGCCCGGCGGCAGCTCATTAGAGACTATTATCGACAACTAGCGCGCGGCACCTGCGTCCTGAGTCAGCGCCGGCACACGCCGAGAGAGCTGTCACAGCTGAGAGGGCCAGTCGCAGCCGTCAGCGGCCGCGCTGTCACAGCCCAGCTCATCACCGGCGGCTGATGTCACAGCTGAGAGGGCCAGTCGCAGCCGTCGGCGGCCGCGCTGTCACAGCCCAGCTCATCACCGGCGGCGCCGCCAGCTGGGCTGTCGCAGCCAGCAGCTGCGGCGGCACACTGGTGACCGAGCCCGTCCCGTCCGGGTGGGGTTCGTACAGCTGGGTCAGCCGGCATCGGGTGCCGGCCGCAGTGAGGGCGGGATGGCGACATCCAGAGGACCATCCCCGGCTCTGTCACGAATGAAGCTCCAACCGACAATGTGACACCAAACCGAGATAAGCCCTGGTCTCGCACTGGAGACGCCGACTGGCCGAGGCCGATGGCTGAGTCTGCTGAGGACCGGTCACACTTGCAGGCCGGTGGCTGACGGTCTGCCTAGGACCGGGCTCTCTCGGAGGCCAGTACAGACCCTGGCCGCCCGCCGTGCCGACACCGCGCGCCGGGGCTTTACTAGCTCGGCGACCCGCAGCGAGGAGGGGGGAGGTATAAACTCGGCACCGAGAGACGCCCGCGCCACGGGTCCGGGACGAAACGAGCTGACAATATCCAGCCGACATGATGGTGCAGTGTTAGTGCGGAGAGGAACGCATGTTTACGTACGATACACTAGATCAATGCAAAGCTTCTCATTTAAATCGCAACGCAGCAATAAATTAAGTCAAAAATTGATCCTTACCATTCGTCAACTAGCCACCGCGGCATTGTTTGCCGATCAGCTTCATTGTTCTATCCACAGTAACCACTTCAATAAGCGTCAGACCTGACACTGCATGATATCTCCAATCGCACTATATACTCGGCAAAGGCATTGGAGGTGCTGCCGTCACATGCAGACCCGCTACCTCAATACTGCGGCGCGCTCAAGAGGACACGAGTCCTTGGTACAAGTTCCAAACATCTTACTGCTAAACGGAAACCGTCCCTTCCGGTGTCCCTTCCCCACTACATCCTCGCTCAGGCGTCCACAAACGCGACAGGAAGCCGAACGATAGCTCACCATCCCAACATCCTGCCTGACCTCCGGTCTATACTATCTGGAAGCAGCTGAGCCCCAAAACCACACTGTTCGCCGGTCGGACGGCGGGCGGCACGGGTGTCGGGCACTCCGCAGCTCGTGGGGTCACCGAGCGGCGACCCCGGGTCACCGGCGTCTGCCACTTTCACTGGTCGTCGTCGGCACCTCGGCGGCCGGCCGACTCTTCTTCGCCTCTCTCCGACAGAAATCGTGTCACTGCGCCGAAAACGTCGAACGCCAGTCCAGCCGTCGATAGCTACTAGCTAACCAGCAGTATGACCCCTGTTGTCAGACTCAGCGCAGCTGCTTCGAGCACAGCGCGCCCTACCGCTCAGACGATAACGTCTCGACCTTGAGCATGGCATACCGCACTTGGCACAGGCGAACGCCCAGCCGGCCACAGCGGTGAGAGAATACTTCAGCGGTTAGGGCAAGACGATCCAAGTGCAACAATATCCTCATTAAAAACTGTCAGAATAAGAGGT